TCTCATTTTCATCTGCCTGCAAAAGTTCTCCTAGACTCCATTGTACTCGGCGACGCCCCTAAATCCTACACGAACAAAAACAATTTGTGTACTTGGACACTTGTTCCGTTTTTGGCGCATTGGAACTGTGTGGGTGTGCACATCTGTAGATGTGAAGTATGTATGCTTTATCTGCTATGCTATGGCGTGTTGCGAAGAGCACATCGACCGCTAAACAGTCGGGTCGATGTGGTGGCACATGCGCTGTACACTGGCGGTGCAGCGTTCGATAAACACCGAGACTACACGTCACCCCTCCGTTGCGTCGCTGAGGTAAACGACTTGAAAACGTTACGATAGGTCTTGATGTTACCATAGCATTTTGTAATAATTCTGTATTATTAATCTTGGCATTCTATTTTCTCTCTAATTTACAGTTACTAAAAGGTAGACTGTGAAATACGATCACGCGGCCCTTATGAAATAGTTTAAAATTCCGCAGTTATGGGATAGTGCGCATGTTATTGACTGTCATCGCTTACACACACATAGCGTGTTTATGCGAACAGTCAATGAAGCCATTCTCCGGCTATAGTACCAGCACACACGCTGCTACATGACAGCTGCGGCCGTCAGATTATTTTACGAACATTGATTACTTTACGAGACGGAAGATATAAGTTACACGTGATTCTTATCAATATTTTGGTGGTTTAATGCCTTTATTGAATAGATAAGTACGGATAGCGATAGGAAGGGTTTGTTATCAGTACGTTCAATAAGCACAAGTTCGTTTGGAACACTATTTGTTTGAACGTCAATATGTGGTAATATTTCGAATTTAAATCAGCAACTACAATTATGACAAAATGTGTAATATTTTAAACAGGCAGCATATAAGTATTCCATCGAAAATATCCTTATTACTAATTACAATAACCTCGTTCAGAAAATGTGTCTGTAATACACTAGCGGCCTACCCCTAATTCGTATTTACTTTTTTATTCATTTTCATCTGACTGTAAGAAACGATACATAAAAAAATAGCGAAATGGATCCAATACGCGTGATGCGATGATCAGCGAAAAATAAGGATTTAAACTTAAAGGAGATTGACTTGCAGAAATACATCAGAGAGCAAGAACATCAACAGTAAAGCGATATTTTTCTTACATAAAAAATAAGTCACTTATTTACCGTATGTGGACTTGAACTAATAATATTTAATTAGCAAATGTTTAAATCGATAACCCGACGAAACTAATTCATTACAACAGTACACAAAGCCCGGGTGGGGCGCCAGTTTGTGACGTCACCAATCGATAGTACCCCTGCCCTCAACCCTTGGCATTACGGGATGATGTAACGCAATATTTTCGTTGGGGTTGTTGAATCATAGTGTGTACCTCTAAATGTAGGTAGACATGAAACCAGACAACAGTATGATACATAAATACACAATAATTTCAAAGCATATTATTTTCACTTAATTTTAGCTTTTAACACTTAACTTTAGGCAAGTGTTTGAACCTTATCTTCGGTTCTACTAGTGTAAAACACTGGCCACGAATAAAGTTTTTCACTGTTCCTGAAATTTATTTTCTTTCTTTTATTTCTTTGTCCAAATATTAGTTCTTCCGAATGCCCCTTTAAGTAGTCATTAAAATGATCTGAACATAATTTTTTATTTTACTATTTCACTTCAGTACCAAATTTCTTTGCAATTATATTCACTATACTGTTTTTGTATAAAAATAGCATCTTTATGTATTTGTTTGTTTCTTTATCATTTATTCCTAATATGTACATAGTATTAGCGTTTACTCTATTACCACTATCATCGATTTCAATAAGTCAAGAGCAGGGCTCTAGTGGCTTATTATCATCCAAGAATAATTACAGTCATGTGATTTTGTTATGACAAAGTTTCTTTAATACTCAGCAAAATCTTCAAAAATATTAGACAAAATGTGTTCCAGTTCAAGAAATACATAACGATTTAAAGAAAGCGTTAACCTAGCCGTTTGTTGTATAAGTTTACTAGTTAATACGTGAGCAGAACGTAAATAAACATTGACACGTGTTTATGGGTGCGGGTGGGCGCATGCGCCCTGCACATCCAACCATCGATCGGGATTCCCGGCACACTATACGTGATGCTAGGCTATGTGGGCCCCACGCTATGACGCTAACTTATCTAAAAAACTTCATACGAGCGTTAAGTGTTCTACCTGGCTTAAATGGATTTTTACCTTTACTAACCTACTACATTATTTTAGTTTGGTTTCACCTTACAATTATTGAAGTAATTCTCATATCACGACAACATATGCAGAATTTTCGATTTATTTTTTTGGCAAAGTTCTTTTTCGTAAACCATGTCTATTATAATGTATGGTCCTAAAGCGCCATAAAACCCTAAATGCTAATTTATTTAAGGTTACCGTTATGAACAACTGCGTTATATGTGGCTATAGGACATTCAGGTCCCAAAATCAATAACAACCCTGCGGAGGGTGGGTCTCTCGACTGCAGTACCACGCCAATACGACTATGACTAGTATTCATTACCAAAATAATTATTTACGGAAGTCTTATTAACTGTAAAATATTTCATGGATCCACGTAATTCACAGGCGTTCACTACAGCCACCTTTTTGTAAATAAACAGTGGTTACCACGTGCCTCTATGCCGAGAACTGCGCAAGCGTGATTTTCAAATCATGAGATACCTATCATATTTGTGTATGGTTTTTGAATGACACGGATGCAATCAAAAGTGCTTTGTTTTATCGTGCAGTGCTTTCACCGCATGTTTATAAATGTACTCATTCATACATGTGTGGTTGTAAATGTTGTACACATCTATCAGGTAGATTGTATAAGCTACATATAAAAATAGGATTGTGAATCTAAGCAATGAGTCTTCAGATTTTTCCTAAATTAGAAGCCGCTATTCAGGTTTCTCTAAGAGAAAATATGATACATTTTTTAAAAATTGCTATTAGGTTGTATCAGCTTCATAGTGGTTAAAAAAAGTAAAAACATTGGAAGTCCATGTGTAGGAAAACCAGATCACAATTTTGAACTAGGTATATATATAGCAATAAAATGTACACTAATAATTATTAGTGTAAATTTTATTGAGTATATTCTTATAATCGATTTTGTCCCTGAATAGCTTTTGCCCAAACAGTGCTGACTGACAGTTCCCATCCATACATAATAAATATAATAAAATTAGACCTTAAAATATCCTTTCCTTTAACGGAAACGGATAGGTAGCATAATTCCTTGATTGCGAAAAAATTGCGAGAGTTGCGGAACAAAGGAACTGCTAAATCGATTATCTTATTTGTCTCCACCTATAAAGATGTATACCTAGTTTCTGCAGAAAGCCCTTAATCCGTATGTTTTAAAAGTTAAAACTATCCTCACTCAACTATTCAAGTCCAAAAAATAACAACTTGATAATGCTCACTACGACATTGAGTATTGTATAAGGCAACTTTATCAAAAAATGACTTAAACTAAACTTACCCAGCTGCAAACACTACTACGTACTCTCAATTTCCTGTAAACATCTACTGTAAGTAATACATGTAAGTACTCTGATTTTCTGAGAAGGAGGATACTAAGGTTTATGAGTTGTAACTCGTGAGTAAAAAAAATGTAATAGTGTACCTCGTTACAATTGTTTCATGAGAGGCTACATTCACTAGTCTTCTCCGTCAATCTCCATTTACGTTTACCTGGCCGCATAACTGTTTTTCTTCCGATCCTTCGTCGCTTCGCTTACAAAAACCGATGACTTGCCTTCATTATTATTAAAGCACAACAGAAATGAGCGGCAACATGGCAATGTTTAACTGCGATTGCGACGTTGCCACGCCGCACGCTCGGCTGACTCGTCACGTGACGTCACGTCTCAAGATGGCCGCCACACCGGTCGCGGCGTCCCCCCGCGCACTCCTGTCTTCCAGCCGCCCCAGCCGGATCCGATCGTGTTGCTCGGTAATAATAATTTAGAATGCAGCCGTCAGAAAGGAAACCGAGCGAGAATAGATTGAAATTTAATGCATCGAACACGTCGGCTATACGTGTTCATACTAATTGTTATTCTACAACAGATGCTGTTTACTTTCGTTGAATAATATAGATAGACAGTTGTTAGCGGAATCCCTGCTGGCTGCCAGTAAGGTAGACTAGGTGATGCGGGCGAATGTGATTCATTTGATATTGTTCTAATTAATTACCTAATAGTTACAATTCCTTTCCATGTGACACATTTTTAGGAAAGAAGTAACTTACCCGCTTAAACTATAAATTATTATTACATTTTATTTTTATTCAGACTCGGTAGACTATCTTAGATTTTTAAAGAAATCCATTTTTTTATGAAATATACCTACTAGGAAAATATATATGTATCGTTTATTATTATACGTCTATTATTATATTCAATTAGAGTACAATACCCTATAGTATCTACTTTAGATGTACTACAGTTGACAAAACTTAACTTAATTCAGGGCAATGCTTTTTATTATTTTAATATAACATTTTTCATAAAGCAGATGCGTTTGTTTGGGCTTGAGCACTGTGCATTACATCGTGTTGGTTATCGCGCGATAAGCATGTGTATGTCGGCTAGGGCAGGGCGAGCGGGCTCACAGCGTGGAGTGGCGCATCCGCGTCGCGGCTAACGGCTCGTCCTCGGCGCGTCGTCGTGCTGCGCGCGCTGACGTCACCGCTCGATAATGGCCGCCGCCGCCCCGGCCCCCCGCGGTTGCCTCGACCCGAGAGCTTCAGTCTCTCGTCAACCCGCTTTGGGAGCGAATGCCTTTAACGTTACGCACTTCAGATATCCGACGTCCGCGAAACGAGTGTGAAATTGTTAAGTGTTTTATGTGTACCATGGTGACGGTGTTTATTGTATCTGGCAAGATAAATCAGTGACAATTTATAAGAGACACGAGGAAGACCGATCTCTCGCACACCGATCAACATCCGGCGGCGAGATGTCGGTAATGCAAAAGCGTCAGCACTGTTACCTGTGCGACTTGCCCCGCATGCCGTGGGCAATGTTGCATGAATTTTCAGAGGCAGTGTGTCGTGGATGTGTAAATTATGAGGGTGCAGACCGCATCGAAGTGGTTTTGGACACTGCGAGGCAGCTAAAGCGCGCCCATGGATTTCAAGAGGGCCGCGGGCCAACTCATGCCAAAGGAGCTCATCGAACACCGTTAGAAGCTCACCAGAATGGGGGAGAAACAGCAACAAGAGGCCAACCGGCTCCACCGGCACACCATGGTCCTACAACTGGATATTTACATCACCCCCGTCCCGCAGCTAGTGCTGGACTTTTAGCCGAGTACGGAGGTAGACGTGAAGAACATGAAGGTAGACGGTTGGCGCACCTGCCTACACACCACCTGTCCACACACGCCGGAGCGCGGTTAGCCCCCGGTCTAGCACTAAAACGTCAATTGGATGAGGATGATCATCAGAACCATCATGAACCGGCTAAGAGACTGCTAGAGGAACACGCTCGGCCACCGCTAACCCGTGGCGATTCCTTGCCAGCAGTTTCATTAGCAGCTCCCTTTGCCCCGGAACGTGTGTTTAAACAAGAAAAGCACCCTCTACGCACCCCATCTTTCGATGCTTCTTCCTTCAAATCAAATGGTAAGTTTCTATATAACTTAAAAAAATTGCAATATCATCGAAAATCATATCAAAAGTCGGTATTTAAGACAAAACTGTTGCAATGCAACGGACCCAAAGTAAACAACGAATTTACAGTTTTATGTTTTTGACTTGAAAGTTTTAGATGTAACTAGGTATTTAGTGTCCAATAAAATAATGTATTCAATGGTTATAATAATATCGTAGACCTGTTATAGAAAATTATGCAAAAAAATATCAAAGGTAACGCTTTCCACTTCGGTTGGGCCATAGTTAAGTTAACTTTGTTTATGTACTCAAATACCTACTCTATTAGAAATATTTAGTGATATGAATTGTATGCAGAGTCGTAAAATAATATCATTTGACTCATGAGGACCCGCATGTGTGGTTATTGTAATGAAAAATTTTCTATGTTTACAAATATAACAATGTTAATCTTCATAGTATAAAAAATAGTTATTTAGTAAAGTCACGCGCAGTTTGATAACACAAACGATAGCAAACGAACGTGAACGTGCTCAGACGGATGAGTGTAGATGTTTTGCGCAAGCGTCCGCCACGGGATTCATATCTAGGTAGGTGCATTAACTCAGTCCATAAATACGAAACCAGTCCGACTGGTTGAGCGTTCTCGAAAGCGAGCCCGCGCCCGCGGCCTCTCGCACACCACCGCGCTACGTACAAACACCCACGTAATATAAAACGCGGCACCGCACCGTGAATGCATGCACGACACAGCGGTGTGGCAACGTCGCGTGACGACATTTTCGCTCGCGTACGTATGTAGGTAGGCCGACGGGCGAAAAAATATAGCGCCTGCCTACGCTTGGCAGAGTCGCTCGACCACATTCCGTTGGCGTGTGTATAGGGAGCTCGCGGCCGCTCGCCACGAGCCGCCGGCCAAAAAGGTCACCGGGCGTGACGTCACCGCAGACATATGGGTCGTGCCTTTACACTAAACCAACCGACCATAATATGCTAGTTACGCCAATGAATTGTTAAATGTTTGTTTTCAAATCACAATTGGAAAAGACTTCAGATTTCTTAATTGTAAACCTCAACGTCGTAACCCGACATCGTCAAAATCCACAACTTCTAACTATCCTGATTACTAAACATCATTATAAAATATATAGAAATATAAAAACGTGTTGGATTAAACTGTCAAATACCGAGCGGTCACCGGTGACCGCAACCTATTGTTCTTTAATTGTGTCTATAAATACGGTACTCGACGAGTTAAGTACATGTTTATATTACTTTACACTAAATCCTTATAAGAATTGTAGTTAGTTCATTTCATAAATATTTACCTATATAAACGTAGACACAACGCTAACGACATCTCCATTTACGTACACGTTTTAAAAATTGTTTACGATGATAATAGTTTTGTTTTTGTTGTTGTTATTTATTTATTTATCGTTTGTATGAATTTAAATTGCACTAAAAGTTTCATAACATAGCAACTACCGACACTAACAGCATACAGATATGGGACCTACATCGTTACGATGTTTGGCAACGTCGCGGTTGCTTGTTCGCGACACGACTCTTTGCACATACGAGTGTGGCACTCGTATCTTCAATTAGTGTACGTACCTACCCGTCTACTGTACGAATTAGATCGAATGGCCTGCCGAGAGCCGCGACGTTGTGTGACCAGGCAATGACACATCACCGTTCACTACGTAGCATGTATTAACACACAAAGCTATTTATAAGATATTATATGCGTGTGCGAACGTGTGTTTACTATCCGTCGGTCCGCCGCAAACGATGTGTCATCCAACATTGAATGTGAGGTTATTCGGACAAATTGAAATGATGTCGTATTGGCTGTGGTGCGTCGGCGATACTCACGTCCAACGTCTTGCGCCAAATACTCTTAACCGGTGACATATTGAAACAAATTTCACTTTTATTTTATTATTCGTTATAACCGGTTCTCGGATACACTAAGGGTTTGTTTATATTATGAAACGTGGAGTTTTCTTTAATAGGACGGCAAAGAATCAAAAGAATACAGGTCTCTTGTCTTTATCATATATTAGTTCTTACAATCAATATCGACTTTTGATATTACACAAGTAACCCGTATTATGGCACCACACATTCGCTTTATTGTGATCAGTACACAATATTTCCACAGGTTATGGAAATGCGGCACCATTGACGAATGGATCAGCTGGATCACCACTGGGTCGCACGGCTGGTTCACCTCCAGTGACTGGTGTTGCCGGAGCCGGCCCATCACCAATGGCCGCACTGATGTCTGTAGCTGACACATTGCCTCCTGGTTCACCGCGATCTGCTGGTGGTTCTCCACCACAGCCTCCGCCACAAAGATCCGCCAGCCGCTCTAGCCAACACTCGCCTAATTCATCAGGTACATATACTTATTTTAGTAGCTACGACATCTGAGTATAGATTCAATTTTTTTAATCTTCATTTCTTACTTTTATCCGAACCGTTGTAAAAGATTCACTTGATGGTACGTGTCAGTGTATCGTATAGAAAAGAAAGTAGTTGCGAACACGTCAGTTTTTGCAAAAGTTGCCGGTGCAGATTAACGGTAGACCGTGTTCACTGTGTCGTATCGTGTGAGGGGTCGGACTCGGGCGGGCGTCCGATCACTGCGCCGGCGCCGGCCGTGACGCGGCGTGGCGCCCGACGACCGCTTGCGCCCATACCGTACAGCTACAGTCTGCTGACTTATTACCGAGCCTCACCTCGATACGTGGCTACTGCAATGCAGCGGACGCCACTCTTATTATTATATACAACTCTTTCTTGATGAACTTGCGTGTGGCAGACGGTAGCTAACGATTCCATTCCGGTCCGACAGGGTCGAACGGCGGGCGGCGGTCGTCGGGCTCCCGGCACGTGTCGTCGACGACATCGGTGTCGTCGACCGAGGCGGGCGAGGGCACGGAGGCGGCGGCGCCAACTCCCGCTCCTCTGCTCAAGTGCACGCTCTGCCAGGAGCGCCTTGAAGACACGCACTTCGTGCAATGCCCCAGTCAGCCTCACCACAAGTTCTGCTTCCCCTGCTCCCGAGACTCCATCAAGCGACAGCAAGGATCAGAGGTTAGTTCTAGCTTATTTCTTATTTCAAGTTTTTCGAATTATGTGTATTGTAAAGTGTACTAATATATTAACTTAATGTTTTGTTTTTCACAGGTATACTGTCCAAGTGGGGATAAATGTCCATTGGCAAATTCGACAGTTCCATGGGCTTTTATGCAGGGTGAAATAGCTACAATCCTCGGTGAGGAGTTCAAGCCGAAGAAGGAACGGGAGACCTAGGGCAGCGTTCCGCAGCCCCGACTTTACCTCTTGTCCCTCTCGTTGTGAACCGTGCACGGGAGGAGTAGCGACTGTGCCGTGGCACGTGGCCGCAAGCGTCGCAGTCGGCGCGCGGCTCCGCGGCGGGGCGAGGCCGGGCCCTCGTCCGTACAAACCGATCACTTGTATATAACTTTGTAAATAGTAAACTTGTATGTTTAGTTCGCTCACCAACAGCCATTGCGCTACGGACATGGTACGTTGCGGCTGACGAGCGGGGTCGGCCGCGCCGCTGGTCGCTGTGCTGGGCGTATCGCATCTTTTATTTTATTTATTTATGAGCTCAACATTCGACTAGTATCGAATTGAAAGCACGGTGCGATATTCCGAGTATAGCGTATGTCTATTTTGAAGAGTTTTCGATTATTACTGCGTTGTTGGAGGTTAACGTACCTCGTGAGGAGTTGTCGTTATATTTCGAGGGTGGTAAGCTGCTTTGCGAGCAGATATTTCTTCGGATGCCATTTTCTTAGTTACCCTTAGGTCCTGAACCATAGTGAACATGGCATTTATTTATGTGATTCTTATATACTATACAAGTATTATACGATATAATAATCATGACATTTTGTAGTCCAGAGTACTGATTGTAAAATCGTAGTTATTTAATGACGGAAGCGTATTGCTCCCTGTACAGACCGTAGATTGGTGTATATTGTATTTATCACATACAGCGCATGCAAAATAGTCTTATTTTTAACTATGAAGCGATTTATTCAGAGTGGCTCGAGTTCCGTTATTGTCTCGCATTTGGCGATAAAATTCCGCTTACGATATTTCGTTATTTTATGTTACTGGTATTGATAATTGAGAATAAATCAAAATTGGATGTGGTGACGCATAGCTCATGGTAGCCGCGTCTTTTTAGTTGATTATTTTGTAAGGATAAGTTGTAGTTACTTGGAGAGAGTCGCACGTGCCGCCGCCGGGCGCGGGCGCGGTGGCGGCGCGTGCGCCGGCCAGTTGCGAGGGTGCTTGATACGTGGGGACGTACCTAGTCATTTTGTGAAATGTCAAATTGTCAGAACCGCGAACACGCGGCCGTTATAGGAACTCTTAAAACTCGCTGCTATTTGTATAAAGTGAAGTAATCATTATATTATTATCATTATGTATGTCATAATATTAAACGATTCGTAGTTTACGTCAGTTTCGAAAGCTATCAGACGTCGACCGTTTGCTACTATGAATTGTTGCGTTTCTCAGCAGAGTGTAAGACGTGGTCGAATCTTTACGAATCTTTTCAATGGTACCTCAGTTATTCCTCTTTGTTTAGTATAACATTTCAATGGGTTTATCTTTTGCACCATTCGCAAGATTTCAATCTTTATTTACTTTCATATTTATGCGTGTGAAATTTAATCGTATCTACTTCAATATCATTAAAATCGATAGCTTTTATATCTTTAAATTGAGACGTTATCAGTGTCTTTAAATATTAAAAGTTAGAACATACAATGAAATTGATATGTCGATTATTTATTTTAGATGTTATTTGTGTACATATACGTACGTTGTACATACTTGTCTACTTGTAAATATTTAGGTAGCAGCCGGCGTACGGCGTGTACGGCCGATGCGATCAGGGCTATAGATCCAGTATTAATAGGACATTGAGCCATGTTGTTTATTGTACTACTATTCTTATTTGAAACTACTATTTTACTCGTTATTTTACAAGAATTGCTAAATTAGAAAATGATTGTGCTTTACCAGATATATTTTACGTATGACTACATACATATTATGCATATTAACGTGTTTCATAATACTTACTTAATGACGTTTGTATGGAGGGCGAGATGTGCACAGCTGAGTGCCATTCTCTTTTATATCATTGTATTTCAGCTGGATATCATTTTGTACTGAATGATGTACTTCGAGTGGTACCACTTGAAGTTTTAATTTTTGTGTGACATTTAGTATGTTTTATTGCCAATGGGCTTTTAGTGTCGCGATTCTGATAGATTCGAAATTGATATTAGTATTATCAATGGAAATCACCCGCGATGGGTTTGTCATTTATTAATTGTCGCCAAGTTTGGCAAAGGTGAAAAATTTTGTAAGCACAAATTGTGCGTAATACTTTTTTATTGATTTGAAATGTTACATATACGTCAATGTCGAAGATGAAACCAATGTACTGAATGATTCAAGTCTCTTATCACTTATCAACGATGTGACGGAGAGACTTATAATTCTGACTCGCAGTGAATATTGTGTGTATTTTGTTATATTTCTATGTTTGATGTAACTTTGGCATTACTTTATGTTTTGCAAAAGTTGCAAATATAGATCTCAAAAGTTTACATACTTACATAATATTTAACAAGAGGTGCTGGTCTGTGACGCAATATTCTCTGTCGTAGTGTGCTGTTAACGTACATGTAACATATCATACAAGTACTGTCCGCCTTTACCCCTAGGCTTGTTTGTAGACGTCGACGATGTATCGACACAAAACATATGTATCATTTTGAGACTTGTCTCTTTCTTACTGTAAGCAGCAAGTGAAATGCTTCGATTAAGACGTTAATGTAAATGTTGGTGAAATACAATTGATGTGATTTTGTATATTTTTGTATTTTTATTTCCCACCCATGCCCTTCGATTATTTTATTATGAGTTTTAAAATGAATTACCTAACAGGTCAGTAGCTACTACGTCGTTAACTACGTAATCAAAATTTCAGTTATCATAAAAATGCAAGTCATATCTTCGGTCTATAACTTTTGTATCGAAAAAAGGAAAGCTTAAGTTTATTTTTAAATTATATTACGATAACATTTTTATTGATTATGTTTGGGCGATCAACTGAGTCTACATAAAAAGAACAGTCCACGGATTCAGTTTTTATATTAAGTACATACAATAATTAGTACCGCTTGAATTTTATACACCATTTTTCCCCATCAAAAATAACTCTTCTTTTAATCCATTTCCTATAGTAGTACAAAAGTGATGATAAACAAGTAATGTTTGTGCACAGAGCGGAGCGCGAGTACGTCGGACAGACTGTCGGAGCCGCTGTGCCTCACCAACAGATGAGAAGCCTCGCCTCGCCATACCCAGTCGATCGATATTTGGTCAGTATCCATACAAACCATGTATGTATGTGTGTACACTTATAAACATTTCTATGTAATAAAAGATTCTGGTACTGCAACAGTGACATGGTTTTGTTCATTATTGCCTTTTAAACTTACAGGTTGAGAGCAGCAAAAAGTTTGAAATGGTTAATATCATAGATGACGATATATGGAACACAGAGCCAGCATTAAAACCAGAAGATGAAGTAATATTAAGGAAACTCCATGATACGCTGCAATCGACTGCGGATGACCTGAAGCTACTCTCCGGGGAATTGACCAAATTTCGTGAGCCAGGCGTGCAAGTCAAAACTGCTCCTACGCCATTAGACGAGGAATTCAATGAGAAAGTTCATATTGAGGAAATTGTAAATGCCAAATTTCACGGGTACAAAATTATTGATAAATCAGCTTCATACGTGCCTGAAAATAAGCCTAAAAAAGATACAACAGACAAACCTTCGGCTGATTCAAAATATCACAAAACTTCTAACATTAATGCTCCTGTAAATGTTGAAAAAGTAAATAAAAAGCCTATTATTAATAAAAACTTAGGAATAACTCGAACTAAAGTAATACAAATAAGTGGTGATACAAGTAGCACAAAGACTGAAAAGCTTAATAATGGTACAGTACTAAGTGCACCAACTGTTGCATATAATGAATATTCTTATGTGTACGTAGAACCAAAAACTAAAACGTCTAGCAAAAAATTGCAAATTCAGGAAATGCCAAGCATAAACATTAGAAGTGAACTTAAAGAGCAGAAAGTTTTACAGTTAGATATTATGCCAGAAGTGGCAAAACTTAACACACCTGAAACAGTTAAAAACAACGTTACTGTAGTAGCAATACACCATGAGCCATGTAAGCCCGTACAAACAGAGTCTACTATGAGCCTCCGAGACGAAACACTACGACACCACTCGAGTCAACCGGTTACATCTAGGAAAGTATTTAAAATGTCAACATGCGACAGTAGTGGTTCCACTAACAATATTAGTTCCGACACTAAAATCAAGCTAAAAACACAAAAACGTATCCTGACAAACATTAGAACTTCACCGAAAATGTCAGCTCGTAATGATCGTAAGAAAAAGAATATCAAAAAAGAACCTGAACAAAGAGCACACTTGAATATGGATGAATGGCGAAAAAAACTGAATAGTGTATATGGGGCAACATGTTCTAAAAAATCCAAGTCGCCTCAAAATAAAAGTAGTACCTTAAAGAAATCAAATAATCAACAGGAAAATAAGACTAAACCAAATAATTTGAACAATACCGAGTACATACCATACTCAAAATTAACTGTAGGAGGAGCGAGAGCTAGTGACATTGAACGAGAAATATCTGATATTCCTAACAAGAAGGATATACCATTAAGTCCTATTTTAGATAGAATATTAACTAGTAGAGAAAATTCATTCAGCTTGAATAGCTGCCAACCAAATGATAAAGCAAATATTTTCACTACATCTGATGAAAATTTATTGCAAGAGGTGATTGATATAGAGAAAACTGTAAGCGAGACTCTGTCAAAAAATCTAAACAATATCAATACAAAAATACAAGTAGAAGGAAGCGAAAGTGATGAGGCGAAAGAAAATGACAGTTATGCTGATGACTTTGAAGAAGAAAAATCAGATGGATCTGGACAGTCGGGCAATCGGAAAACAAACACTTCAATATCGAATGAAGATCAAAAGTCATTTGACGAAGAAAATTACACATCGGAAAATAATGATAGACATAAAAGTGTTCAAAGAATAACTCGAAAACCAATCTCGAGTCCATCACATACGAATATTCAATTAAACGAGACTTATAAAAAAGCTTCCAATTTATCTTTCAAGAATAAAGTTGATGTATTTGAATATGTACACTCTGTCGATACTCAGGATTCTGCCACACAAAGTAACACCGAACTGAAATTATCACGCAAAGAAACTCAAACGTCCCCAGTTAACGACAACAGCATACAACCGATACATAACGATCTTTGGCCAAGCATAGATCCTAAAGGTGAAGTGGAAAAAATGTTTCAAATGGAAAAAGAGTTTATAAAAAAACTCATCGTGGAGGAGTATGGCGACATACTAGAAAAGAATATAGACAAACCTTCGACTTCAAAAGAAGGTCAAATAACCTTGAACGTAGCTGCATCACAAAAAGACACTCAAACATCTCCAGCACATGTGAAGAACGTCATGACTTCTCCCACAAAAACTAAGACTAGAACCACTTCGCCATTTTCAAAGTTAACCGTCGACCATCACACCAGCCCGTTAATATTTGTCGTTGATGAAGATGATGTTAAATTAGAAATAGAAAACGAGGACGAACCAGGCATTTCCATAAACTTGTCATCTCCAAGATTTAGTTTGCGTTTGCCGCGAACTTCCAGAGAAGTTTTTTCTAATTTAGGAAATAGTGTGCCAAGAACAGCAAAACAAAGTGCTTCGAAAATTAAAAATGTTAAGAAAAAGAATATAACAACAAGTACAAGTTCTTTTGAAGCCGACTCTTCAGAGATTAGTAGTTTAGGAGAAGTAAAACTTGCTAGAAAATCAGGTAGAGCTAGGGTTGTTTCAGAAACTGATTCGGTGTCATCATCTTCCATGTCAGAAGTGCATTCGGGGATCTTACCTCTGAGGAGTGAAGGTGAAATGAGCATCAGTCATAAACAAAAATATAATAAGCAACACAAAAGCGAGGGGGAGGCTAGTGTTGGCCTGTTTTAAATTAATTTATAAATTCGTGCATAAAAATGTGTTGGTATCTTGTTACAGCTGAGTTTATTTTGTTGTTGTAACATTGTAATGAGAATCAGAATGCAGTAATTTAAATTATCTACATAAATGTAGTCATTTCAATTCTATAATTGTGCTGTTTTAAACAAAAATGTTAATATCGATTAAAAGTCTGAAACTGAATATTAGTTTAAGATAAACTGTAACATGGTTGATGGATGGTTGGTACACTACTGATTCTCATAATATGGTAATACCATGTGAGGTCTGCGTTAATGATATTGTTGTTCACCTAAAGTACAAATCAGTTAAACATAATTTTAATTACATAACCAATATTTCTGCCGGGAACATTAGCGGAATAAAACATAGCAACAAAACTTAACTGTAGGTCGTGATCAAAGTTATCTAGTTCTTAATAATGTTGTTTACTTTTTAATGGTCTGTAAAATATAAATATATCGTCTTCCAAATTCCAGCATGTACTTAGTATCAAATGCGATGTATTGTAGAGTGTTTGCACAAAAACGCAAGATCTCAAATTTTAAAAACTAAAGTTTTAACTAACTATATACAGTTCCGCTAATATTACTTTGGTGCATGTTTTATTATATTTTTTACGCCATTTAGTTTTATGATAATTAGGTAAATAAGTGTATTTTTTGCATTATGAATTTATGATGAAATAATAAACAGTCATTACAAAAAAACTATTTTTTACTTTTTTGTTTCAATAATACCTATATCTGTCTTGTTTAACTAGTCAAGTCCCTCGTGGAACTGTTACGTAAACCGTGAAACATTCTTTATAAATTTAATGTCTCACGAGAGTTATAATAGAATATAATTAGTTTACTATCCATCTGAAAAAGTTAGTATGGTAAGTCGAATAATTTCTTTATGGAACATGGTGGCAAACGAGGAGATGAATCATCTGATGGTAAGCAATAAGCACCGTTCATCAACACCAGATGTACTTGAAGATAGATATGTAAGTATTATCTACATATGCATAAAGAAACATTTTAATTAGTAACATTTTAACTAGATACTTCCAACTACATAAATGAATTGTGAGTTGTGTGACAAACATAATCGAGCACCTATGCACCGATAACTGTACAGTTTAATCACATACACGCTAGGGCTTGTCTGTCGGTTGTGTATACACGGCTAAAACCATCATGCAAAACCTAGCGTGTATGGCCTCCTTTAACATTGTATGTCCGTGTGTTCTTCCGCCTACTTCTTCGAACATTATAAGACGTGACGTTATGTTATATTAGTATGTATATCTGCAGTCACAGTAGTCATGTCTATTACCGTGTTTACGATAGAGCTAGTCTAGGGACTCTGTACTACGCATTGTCGTTAATAAGCCCTGTTTTCTGTATCTATCAATTCTATATAAATTATCATTATTCTCCTTTTTATTCGAAAACATTTAAGTCAGTGCCCTCAGAACTCAAACAGTTATCAATAAGTTCGCAAACATTATCTCTAGTAATGAAAAAAAAGTTCAACGGTTGGTCACAGGCTCAGAACATGATAATTAATGTTGTATACAGTAAATAATGTCAAGAGAAACATTTTGTTGACGCGGTTATGTTGATATTGTATGAACGATGTTATTATTAATTATTATATTGTAACAGTCAGTGATTAATGTAGAGGCGCGGGCGCAACACGTCTTGTTTCAGTGAATAACGATGAAGCTTTTTGTGATCTCTCTTTTGTTGGGCATCGGCTGGTGTTTAGATATTCCCACAGCCGATGCCAGTACTAAATACGACTGTCAATACTGTCAGCCTGAACAGATCCACATAGCATTCGGAAGTAAGTTCTATATGATCGTATTTTTACTCATTTATGGTTAAAGTTGACAATGAACCTAGTTCTTACTTGATGTTATATCACCGCACTTAGTGGATGAACTTCTAGCAAGTAGCTACTGAATTATCGCGCATTGATTTGTTAAACTTGGTAAAATTATTGAGTTTAGTGGAGTACGTATATTTTTACCCTATGCTACGCTTTGCTTGTTAGTCTTTGTACATTATTTCCAAACAAAGACAACAAGTAAATGAGTAATCAATATGACTACCTACGTACCTTTGTCTGTAGGTACTAAGTTAGTAGTACTGATCTATGCTACGATTTATATATCCGTCGCATCGGTACCCAAATAGGTATCTGGATATTGTAACAAAGCACTACCAATTTAACGCCCTCAATTTTAAGTCGGGCTAAGTATAGTCTATCACTACAAATTCTTTGTATAATGAATGACAGTGATGGCACTATTTTTAAGTACAACTAAAATTGAGTAGCCTTTCCGTATTCGGGCGTAGATCTCAGTAAAGAACTAAACACGATACATAAATTATCTACCTAATTAACTTTATGGGCACCCAAATGCAAATTTTTGTTAGGAATACAGTGGAAGATGTTATTTAGTTTCACGCGTTTGAAATAGAGATAGGTAGGTAAATTATGAAAACAAAATATAATAAAGTCTATCCTAACTGCTTGAATGCACCAATATGAGACACAATAGAAAATGCATGAGTCTCGCGTGGATCCGCATTTAGACTTTAGACACACGACGGGTTAAACGTAGGTTACAATTTATCACAGTAGGCGCATCCGCTTGCAGAAGCTAATGATGTATGGGTACCTATATAACTATTATGCATTGCTTTAGTTTAAATTTGTCCTTTGGATGTTATCCGCCAGTTTGTGTCGATCTGTAAAAAAAATAACCTATTTTTTTGTTTTTCTCATTATCTTTCTCTCCCTGCGCATATAGGCATGTTTTTCATATTAAACCTAAAAAACTATGTCTGTAATTCTTTATCTATCAAAGAAGATTTTTTTTATGTATCGTATCCTAACTAAAAATGTTTACAAAGATATACCATCTTTGTACCGAGCACGCTTTTGTAGAATATTATCTGTTCCTATTCAGTTAAAAAATTACGATTTACCTAAGTCAAAAATGTACGTTGTCGCTAGCGCGGCGTGCGTGACGTCTTGTTATACATCTTGTGATTCATCGACCTTAGCAAAGTTAATAAGTTATTGGCGATTAGAATGAAAGAGCTTGTATTTATTTTATTTGTTTTCTATCGCCGTTGTACGCGTTTTATCCTTGGAGGTTAGTAGAGGTGCATCCGAGCATAGGTGAAAGGCAAGAGAAGCAAAACTGAACTTTTGTTTTGTCAGTTTTGTCACACCAAGTTCCTTCCTTTACTGGGAAAGTAGGTACGGCTACGTGTAGGTCAATCGAGTCCGATTAGACTAGGTACATGCTATATTATTAAGAACATTATAGACCAAAGGCAAATAGATTCCTACCCCATATAGATGTATATCGAAACTGCCAAACCCATGAATCAATCTCGATATTTCTTGCTAGATATAAGTAGGTAAGGTAAATTGTTAGTACTATTTACAAAATAAGTTACCTATCTATTACACGTTGTAAGAGAAATATCGGTACCTACCTACTAAGTAGAATGTCACGAAATACCTAAAAATTACAGTTATTACCAAAAATCACCGTTCGAAATTATTACCTAAACATAACACGTACCATGTTATCCAGTATCCCTTAAATTAATAATAATTGAAAGATATTACAGCTGTAGGTATGTAGGTAGGTAATACCTTCAACAAGAGGTGCGTGTAGGTACTAAGCAGCTCAACATCTCATTGTTTAAGTAAGTACAAAAGTACCTACAGCAAGAAGTATATAACACCCAAGTATATAGGTATTAGGTAAGTATCATTTAATTACTATCGTACGACGGTTATTAACGAATAATTGTTAAAATTCTTACCTTTCAAGCGACAACAGATTTCCACGATTCCATAAACGAACATGAGATTTGAACGTAAACATAAATAAACGTGATTACCACAAACACTGTGAGTTATACATCTTCGCAACAAATTGTTGTTATAACACCAGTTATTACAATAATTAACTATTTACTTTTATTTGAAAAACTTCACGTTGATGTTGCCAAAACATTCATTCATCGGCGCCCGCGCTTTCAGAGATGACAGATTACTAATGTCATGTTAACTCAAACTGTTCCGTTTCACTCAGATTGTATGACGCTCACATTCTTATTTAATTTTAATCCATGATCTTATTACTCCTAAACTCTTAATTATAAAAAATTAAAATTATAAAATAATATTTTAGATTACTTAGATGACATTCTAACTAAGTCACCGCTACTTGAACTTGTAAAAATTGGCAAAATTGCGAATGTCCTGGCGTCACTGCTGTTTGATGATGTTTTGTGTTGTGTCCACAATTTTTTTTCAATTCGTTTCACGTAGGTATTAAGTAAGTATGAGGTTTCGTGCAGAAGAGGCGGGAAAAATAAATGTTTGAAAGGGATTAAAAATAATGATAACTAGATAATTAAAACCGAGAAACATTAGTATAATAAAGTATTTTAAGTAAGTGTCGTAGTTGTATTGAAACTACCACAAGCTATCGCTTGCCTACTACGAATATTAGAATGTTTTTTCATGCCTTGCACTTGAAATGATCTCTGTAAATATTCTAACTCTTGAACTTTTTCAGAAAAAGCGAATGACATAGTGGTGACATGGTCAACGTTCAACGATACACAGGATTCACGTGTGCAATATGGCGAGGGATACATGGACAAGGAGGCGACTGGTTCTAGTAAACTGTTTGTGGACGGGGGCAGACGCAAGCGCAGACAGTACATACACACCGTCACTTTGAAGAATCTCAAGTTTGGTACTAGTTACGGTAAGTTAATAAAATCAGAACATTGGGGCGTTGGAGCAGCACGAGACTTGATGATTTGTGCCTTTATAAATCACAAATCACAGCTTTATTGTGGTAGTTATTAGCCTATCTAAGCTATTCAGTTGTTGATATGAAATAATTATTGGCAGTGTACCACGTGGGCTCTGTGTATGGATGGTCGGAAGAATTCGTATTCCACACGGCACCGGAGGGTGAAGACTGGCCTGTGCGAGCCGCCATTTATGGCGACATGGGCAGCGGTAATGCTCAGGTAAGATTATTTAACTTTAACACACTAATGAGAGTTTCACTGCTTTTGGCTTGCTCGTACAGTATTTCTTACCAGTAACTAAATAAAATAAATATGTAGTACGGTAGGTAAGTAGTAAATTACGATGCAAATTAATTTAAGGTGATTGTTTTTTTACCATTTTTCAGTCTCTGTCGTACCTACAAGACGAGGCCCAACGTAACAAGTTTGATGTGATCCTACATGTGGGAGACTTTGCCTACGACATGGATTCTAAAAATGCTCTGGTTGGCGATGAGTTCATGCGACAGATCCAGCCGCTTGCCGCCGTCGTACCATACATGACGTGCCCCGGGAACCATGAGGAGAAATAGTACGTAGAAACTAGCAATACTAACTGTAGGCAAAAAAAAGTTTTACTCGTTCAAACTCAAAGTCATCAAAAAGGTTTCAATATTTTTCCGCAGCAATTTCAGTAACTATGCGGCGCGCTTCGCGATGCCCGGCCCAGACTCAAGTCTTTTCTATAGTTTCGACCTGGGCCCTGTGCACTTCGTGTCCATCTCCACCGAAGTTTACTACTACCTAAATTACGGCATCAAGTTGATCAGTACCCAATATGACTGGCTGAAGGAAGATCTAGAGAAAGCCAACCTTCCAGACAACAGGTGAGAATACTTAATTGATGAAATTGGTTTTAATCTAGTAGATCCGGCTATTGTTTTGAATTACCTATGGATGATTTTCTTTTAGATCAAAGAGACCATGGATAGTGTTGTTCGGACACAGACCCATGTACTGCAATGACCGTCTCGATGTAGACTGCAACATGGAACTGACGCGGATTGGACTGCACGGACTCTGGCGTGAGTTTTACTAACATCATTTTTTTAAATTAACAAACATTAAATTCAAAAGGACAAGAAGAATGACCTTGAAGTTTCGAAACTTTTGAATAATTTATTTTCTCTGTTACAGCTTTGGAACCCCTACTGAAGGACTACGGTGTGGACCTGGTGATTTGGGCACACGATCATTTGTACGAGAGGTCATTCCCCTTGTACGACAACAAAGTGTACAACGGTTCCACTAAATATCCCTACGTCAATCCTGGGTAATTCGTCTAATAGACTTCATACTGTTTCAAAATGTAGCTTGACAAAATTTCTTACGTGTTTAATACATATTTTAATGACATTGTTAATACTTCCAGAGCTCCAGTGCACATTATAACGGGATCGGCTGGCTGTAAAGAGGGGCATTCCCATTTCAAACGTAAGTGTAGAGTCGCTAGGATATTATTGTATCAATAATAGCTACTTAGGTATTGGTTTTGTTTTACTGACATCAACATCTAAATGTAATGGTTTTTTACCTATTCGGGTTTGCAGAACACCCTGCTCCATGGTCCGCCTTCAGAAGCAGTGCGTACGGGTACACGAGGTTCGAAGCACACAATAAGACTCACGTCTACATGGAACAGGTCGATTAATCTTTTATTTCTCCTTTTTTCCTTAGTTTTCTCCAATCTCTTCTGTGTCGTGTTAGTTTACCGTTTTATCCTATCATGGCGTATAATAAATTGCAATTAACTGATGGCTTATGTGATTGAAAACATTTTTTGTTGTTTGGGGATGTCTTTTAAAACAGTGTTCGGAACTAAAACATTATAATACATAAGCAGAAAAAGGTTTGAGCTACGATTCATTATCGTTTTTTTTTTACAGGTCAATGTGGAACAAAACGGCCAAGTCATAGATTCTCTGTGGCTGGTCAAAAATCTTCACGAGCCTTACGATATCTAATAAGTAATTTTAATTAATTTGTATAAATCACTATATTAGTAGTAAATAAACAGCTGAATAAAGTTTTATCTACTTATCATTTTGTGTTATTTTCTAGTTTTAATTTATTTATTGTTTTCGTTGTTGGCTTCGTCGAGTGGTCGCAATGGCAGCAGTCCATCAAATGAGGTTTTGAGTTAAACAATAATATTATGATATTGATATTTAACACCTAATAATTGCGTAGCGTCCAGTTGTAAACGACGTTCCATTTCGCAGGAGCGACCCCAGGAACAATCCCTGTGAACAGCCTGCGACATCTCGCTCCGGTTCCATAAACAAAACAAATTAATGTCACCTTCACCTCACCGTACCTAAACAGTTAATAGCGCTACAGCTAAACATGCATGTACATTTTTCTTTACAATAACAAAACAAAATTCGCTGCAAAGACCAAGTCCGCCATAAAGGTTGAAGGTTCTTTGGATGGAATTTTTCATAATAATATACAATAACACCGCCCTTCTCGTCAGAGACTGAGAAGGGCGGTGTTTATTGTATTGTTGGTTATATTGCATTATTGGCGGTGTTTTTAAAAACCTTAATCTTAAAAAACTTAATCACTAGTTTTTATAAAGAAAAATACGACGACTGTTATCATTAAAAATGTAATCAGGAGCATTACTTATAATATACAATGGGTAACTTATTTTCTGATTTTAATTGTTAGTAAATCGAAAAGAAACAGGTTAAGCCAGGTCCAATAATTTTCTGCGGATGAATTTGAACTCCCGCGGCTCCGCGCGCACGTGCGAGGAGACACTGGGGTGGTTTTAGCCGGTAAGAGTCCGGCACACACCTCCGCCTTTCCCCAGGCGGAGGCAGTCCATGAGGATTTCTCCCTATTAAAAAAAAGGTCCAATAATTTTCACTCACACCTTCAAATTTCGCGCGCTCCGCGTCCGTATTGCCAACCGATAAAAAACATCAATTATCGATATTTTTTATTTACTTAAAAAATATTAATTGTCAAAGATGTTACGGACAGAATTTAGAATTAATTATAAATATGATAATCATGTGAACATTGATTCGCTTACAAAATACTGGAAAAAGAAACATTGCTAAGGTTTTTGTCTACCGCTCCCAGCCATGGTAATAGGTTGCTGCCTTTATGTAGGTGATGGGTATGTTTTGAAACCTTAATCTTGTACATTTTATAGTTACAAAATATTAAATACGAACTTATATTAAATATTATGAATATCTTTGAAATTACTAATACAAAATATTTCATGTTAAATAAATATTTTTTATAAATATGCACTTTGGATAATCAGTTTAACTGTAATTTATGCACAATATTTGAAATAATTAGTTACAAACAATGCAACATTTCCAAGTTTCGGAACGCTTATCAAAAGTGACATTTACTACTGATTGCTATGAGCGAGGCGATGTTTATAAAATTTGAAACCAAACAAAGGCCAATTAGTAATTAATTATACGTTTCGAAGCGAAGAACAGTTTATCACAGTATCCCTATGTTATTGTAAAATATCTGTCGTATATGTTGAAGGAAATATCGACTGCATTATATTTAAAGTAGCGAATATGAAGTTAATAATAATTTCCGTGTTATTGGGGATATGTTGGGCTAGAAAGTTGCAAATTCGAGAGGCAGGACCTACTTATGGATGTTCCCACTGCCAACCAGAACAGATACATATTGCCTTTGGAGGTAAGTCAAGTTTACTCAACCTTTAAAGTCCTCCTTACCGATTTTAGTAACGGTGACCCTTATAGCAACATAATAATCATTCGTACCATTTTCAATTATTTGTTTTAATTTCATTAGCTCCGATACGTATATTTACCGGCTATCTAACTAATTTAATACAGTTTTATATGTACTTCCAACCTATCCCTTTGCCCATTATGATTGTACTAAAAATAATATTAAACCAAGTAACTTTTAGTTGTATATATTTATTAAATTTAATATTGATTAAGTTTGAGTATGCACATATTAAAAATAACTTTTCAACTATTTGTAAATAAGAAATAAATTATGTAAAATATATTACATTTCAATGAAATTAATTAAATATGAAACTTCAATTTCAGGTTTGTTGTTTTTGCGGAATTAGGTATTTTATAGACTAATAGTCTCTTTAATTGTGTCTATAATGACGGTACTCAAGGGGTTAAACCTTGCTAAATAATTCATTGCAAAATTTGAATTGTTATTTTTAAAAAGATGATAAACTGATTTTAAAAAAGTCAGTTACAATCAACATTTATGTAGGCCAACTATATTAACAGCAGTAATTATTAATTTGGACTTTATGTCATTGATATAAATTCTAAAGTTGTGTATAGCCGTGACTTGTTTATGATATAACAGAAAATAACATGATAAAGTAATTCCTAATGTTTCATAAAATAGGTCTGTATTGGTGTGTGTGTTTGTATTAAACAATTGATAACAAACCTTTGATAAAATTGTTTTGTTAGTTATAAAATTAAATGTTATAATAACAGTCTAATTAAATTAGATTAGTAAGTACATATTAGAACTAAATATTATAATATTATATAGGGCCTCATAACATGAATAGTGAAAAGTGGGTGTTACATTGTACAGTGTCATAATGTGCACCTCTGCCTACCTTGTTAACTTACATGTTAATTGTTATGTTATATTAAATTTATTGATGGCCTTAATTTTAATGTAAAAAAGTATCTACCAAATTGAAAACTTATCTAAATGAATCTGAATTTGAGAATTCTAAAAGTTAAAGGCGGAAGAAAACCTTAACAGGACGGACTTGATGAACACCCAGGAGGATAAAGAAAATGTGGCATCAATTAATATGTGACTCATTTAGGTTGCAATTAATGACAAACAAGCATTATAAAAACAGACACTTGACTGCCTTATTGGCCGCAAGTGTCGCACGTGGTCGCAAGTGCGACTGCCGGGCAATGGGTCTCGGGTTCGATTCCCGGGTCGCGCAATGTAAAATTGGGTTATTTAAAAAAATCTTAGTAGTAACAGGGAGTTTGGAATTATGCCTGCCCTTCATCATCTATTCTTAATTTTATCTTTATAACATGTAACTTATGCAAGAAATGCAGAGTTGTACAGCAAAAATGACTGGACAAATTTAATTATTTCTCTGAAATAAAATAAAATAAAAATTGTTTATGTCATAAAATTTCACAATATTACATTCACAGAAATGCGGCAATTACATGAACGAGTGTGAATTACAAACGATACTGACACTGCCTTCCAAACTAAGCTATGGGCTTGTATTTTGGAAAACAGTGATTCAGGCGTGGAGTATGGCACAAAGTCTCATTATATGTCGCTCAATAATGAATTGAATGTCGCTGCTGCGTAGGGAAAAACTACCTCAAACATGTTGTATGTGCTTGAAATCAATCAATATTTCCAATTATTATGTTTCAGAAAAAGTAAACGACATTGTGGTAACATGGTCGACGTTCAACGACACGCAGGAGTCACGCGTGCAGTACGGAGTGGGTATCATGGACAAGGAGGCGACTGGCTCCAGCAAACTGTTCATAGACGGAGGCAAGCTCATGCGCAGCCAGTACATACACACCGTCACTTTGAAGGACCTTAAGTTTAACACGAGATATGGTGAGCACTGAATTCTACTCCGCACTAGATAGCGATTATTTAGTAAGTATAGTACAGTAGTGAACAAACTATGTCTATTCTTCGAAATGCAATCCACTTTCATGTAGATTCTAGTCTAGATCTACATGAAAGTGGATTGTGTACATGTACAGATCGTCTAGTAGCCATTACTAACCAGCATCCCTCACTAAGCTCCACCATTGCCAGTAATTTTAATAATATTTTGCCCAATAACAGTTGTTTAAAAATGTTTTCATGAACTTAAATGACTCACTACTAATAATTTAATATGTACATACCTAGTTTAATAATATGACAATATCTACAGGATGTCCATCCGCTCCATACATTATACTTAGAATTTACTTTTTTATGATCCAATGTCAACAACAAATGACATAATTAGATTGCTAATCTTTAAATGAGATAAGGGGTTTTAAGATTGATACCAATGTCTGTCTGTGGCATTGCATCTTCCAAATGCGTGGACCCATTTCAGATGCAGGTGAAAGTAAAGTAAAGACCATGGGTGGTTTTTAACTATAGTTTATATAAATACTGCCTCGTTGGCCGATTAGTCGCAAGTGCGACTGCCGGGCAAGGGGTCTCGGGTTCGATTCCCGAGTCGGGCAAAGTATTACTGGGTTTTTAAAAAAAATCACAGCACGGAGTCTGGAATCGTGCCCTGTATATGGCAATAGGCTCACCCTTATTACATGGGACTCATAAAATAAATAGTGAAAAGTGGGTGTTACTTCTGTGTGCACCTCTGTCTACCCCTTCGGGGATAAAAGGCGTGATGTTATGTATGTATGTATGTTTATATAAATAAAATATTGCGAAAGTTTTTAATAATACTGAATACGTTTTTCTGATTAATTGTTGACTAATTACTGATTGTTTCCACCTGTTTGGCGGGTAGTGTACCACGCGGGCTCCGTGTACGGCTGGTCGGAGGAGTTCTCGTTCCACACGCCGCCCGCAGGCGAGGACTGGCCCGTGCGCGCCGCCATCTACGGAGACATGGGGAACAAGAACGCACATGTAAGATATATTTCTTTTTTTTTAAATTTATTATAGATGGACATTTCTATGACCGTAGGAATAATTAGGTACACGTTTTTTATACACATATAAAAATATAAGTAATATTTATATATATAGTTACTAATGGAATTATAAACTACACAAATGTCAAATATTCAATGTAACAATATAACGAATTACTAGACAGTATACTGAATTGTAAATTGTATTTGAATTATTTCTAACTACCTTAGGTCATGTGGTTGCATTGCAAGTTTACCATATAAAGTACCTATCTCGAATTTGATCCAGGGTTGTACAAAAATAATAATACCTATATGAACAAAGAACATTCACACTGCACTATAAACACTAACATATTTTAAAACCTAATCCCTAACTTTATAGTATATTTTCGCTTGCAGTCTCTATCCTACCTCCAAGACGAGGCTCAACGTGATCACTTCGACCTGGTGCTCCACGTGGGAGACTTCGCTTACGACATGGACTCCAATAACGCGCTGGTCGGAGACGAGTTCATGCGACAAATACAGCCACTGGCCGCCATCGTGCCTTATATGACTTGCCCTGGGAACCACGAACAGGCATAGTAAGTTATAAGTATTTATATGTTATCTTGTCTTATACTTACTTATGATATAAAGCTGAAGATTTTGTTTGTTTGTTTGAACGAGCTAAGCTCAGGAACTACTGGTTTGATTTGAAAAATTCCTTTTGTGTTGGATAGTCCATTTATCGAGGAATGCTATAGGCCATAACAATCACGCAACGATAAATAGGATCCGAGCAGAGCAAGTGGAACAGCGCGGAAGTAATTATTGAGGTATAAATGAAGTTACCAGTCCCAATTTTCCTACCCCCAAATTCCTAAATGGTTGGCACCACAATTGTAATTCCTATGGTGTTGGTGCTTACCATTAGGGGACTATGATTTAGTTCTGTCAGTACCCGTCACCTCTGTCAATCCTTTCAATCAACTCAGTCAAGTAAGCTTAGCAATATCTGACAATGTGGTCACGTCGGTCAAGTCAGTCCTGTCAAGCCGGTGAATTCGGCCAACTTAGTGAACTTTAACTCAGCCTGCCAGCCCTAGTCAGGATAACATGGTAAATTCGGTCAACTCTTTTTACTCTGTCAACTCGGTTAAGTAAGCTTAGCAAGATCTGCCAGTTCCACGAAGCTAAGACCAGATCGACGATCAAGCCGATCCCAATCGGCCATCTCGGTCAACCCGGTCGAATCGGCCAACAACACTGTCATCAGTCAAATCAACACTCGGACAATAATAATTATTTAATACTAGCTTTTACCCCCGGCTTCGCTCGCGTCACAAAAGGATAAAAAGCCAATGTGACCTATACCAATACACACAGCGCCATCTATACCAATACTTTTGGTTTCCCTCGGGATTATCAAATTTTTCCGGGATAAAAAGTACCCTATTATTTAATCCGGACTTCTAACATCTGCAAAAATTCAATGCAATCGGTTTAGTAGTTACGGCGTTAAAGTGGAACAAACAAACAAACTCACTTTCCGATATATAATATAAGTAAGGATGTATCTCTAAAATCCGCAGCAACTTCAGCAACTACGGAGCTCGCTTCAGGATGCCCGGCCCGGACTCGACTCTGTTCTACAGCTTCGACCTGGGCCCAGTGCACTTTGTGTCCATCTCTACTGAAGTATATTACTTCACACGGTACGGACTGAAGCTCATCGTCAACCAGTACAACTGGCTCAAGGAGGATCTTGCGAAGGCCAATCTACCGGAAAACAGGTGACAATTGGTTTTATCTCTACACAATTTTAAGACGCGCTAAAAAACATTTCTGTCACTACTATTTGTTTGTAAAAGACAGAGATAAAAGGCTGATAATGATAGGTCATATGCCTATGTACTGTACGAATTGCGACCAAGACGGTTAGCCTTCCCTTGCCAACCATGTCGTCTGGGTGCGTGTCACCCGCGTCACGAGCCGCGCGCGAATGTTGCAGACGGCGGCGGCCGTGGCTGGTGGTGATGGGGCACCGGCCCATGTACTGCAGCGAGTCCAACGACATCGACTGCAGCTGCGAGTACACGAGGACTGGACTGCTCGGCGTCTATGGTGAGATACATATACTCTGTACACGAAACTATTCCCTTAAATGTGCACGTATACAGCACCTCTATGCTTTTCTATGCATGTATGATACAAATCTTCCATTGAAAATATTCCTTATGTTATTTGTTTATAGATCGGATTACAATTCTTAATTTTCTTCTCATTTTATTCCTAAATTAATAAATCAGGTATATAACTTTTACTGGTATCTGTGAAATTGGCCTTGTATCCAAAGTTACTCTTAATACAATGATCTCCAATTGTACATATACGCTGCAGGCCTGGAGCCCCTCCTGATGGAGTTCGGAGTGGACCTGGTGATCTGGGCGCACGAGCACTCGTACGAGCGGACCTGGCCGCTCTATGACAACAAGGTCTACAACGGATCCTATGACAAGCCCTACGTTAACCCTGGGTAAGTGATCTCACACCACAAGGAATCTATGTATATCTCAATTCCGAACGAGGACAGGTCGACAGAGGTTCGGGACTGTCGAGTTTATACGTTTTTTGTATTTATTTTTAACCGATTTCAAAGGTGGAAGGGGTATTACTTCATATGATCTAAAATTAGACAAGTTCTGTTTTATTCTAATTTGCTTTATATGATGATACATAACTTAGTGGTCTTGGTGACTGGCGTGTGTACAATATATGTATTTATCTATGTAATTTTACATTAATATAAATAACCTTTTGACCGAGTGCCGTGTGAAAAATTATAATATGTTTGTTTGTATCAAAATTGTGAAGGTAAATACCCGCTTTTTATATTAACCAACATAATTTATTTACAAAACATAATTACTTATGTTTTATAACAGTTTTCTGTGAATTCTTTGCATGGGCTAGTTAATAACCGAATATTTATATGCTTATGGCTTGACGTCTGACTCACTAATATAAAATTATGGTATTCTCAGGTTAGCCAAATAATTAATTTCCCAGTATATCTAAAATAACTCCGTTTAATTCGATATTCTAAGAAGTCTGTATGTTCTATAATATAGTATCGTGAACTTCTTTGATCGATAATGTAATAGTAGTAAACTATACATACCTGTCTTTACTTCCAGAGCTCCAGTGCACATCATTACTGGGTCGGCTGGTTGCCAGGAGGCTAACGACCCCTTTAGACGTAAGTATACATTCACATAGTTAAACAAGATTACTTTTGGGGATCCCTCATGCAAGTAACTCTTAGTTAAGATATGGTTTAAGGTTCGTTGGTGAAAACGGCCATAACACTCAGTAACATCAAAGTCTCAATACCCTTCCGAGTAAATCTAGTATATTATGTAGGTGTATATAAGTGTTGGTAGAGTACAAAGTAATGTGTGTGTGTCCCAGCGGACCCGATGTCGTGGTCCGCGTTCCGCAGCAGTGACTACGGGTACACGCGCCTCGTGGCGCACAACAAGACGCACGTCTACATGGAGCAGGTCAGTCGCTGGGCTCTATTTAAGTGTTGAGATTAAATATAGTTGGGGGATGTCCCTTAACGCCGGACGGCCCCTAACGCCGAGCAATTCAATTTTTAGGGGGAAGTCTCACAGTGGCAGACACCTAAGATTTTAATTAATCGAATCGCGCATGTAATCAGTTATCGATATAATACAAGTATCTGAAGTATCTGGCGTTATGGGACTTCCCCCACCTTTTATCTTTATTGCACTTATAATTTGACTTCCTCATTGGTCGAATGGTCGCAAGTCCGACTACCGGGCAAGAAGTCTCGGGTTCGATTCCCGAGCTGGGCAAAATATTACTGGGATTTTTAAAAGAAACTCAGTAGTACCACGGAGTCTGGACTTGTGCCCGGTATACGGCAATATGCTCACCCCCTATTACATGGGACTTATAACATAAATAATGAAAAGTGGGTGTTACATTGTAAGTACAGCGGCATTAAGTGCCGTAATGTGCACCTCTGCCTACCTTTTCGGGGATAAAAGGCAGGGTGTTATGGACTTTTAACGTAACTGAAGTGGGTGTTACATCGAATATGTACATCTCGTCTATACAATAAGCGGTTGACAGTATTAGCCTCAGAAATAAAGTCGTAAATATGAATAAGGTCACTTTAAACTCGCAGCTGTTGAATTATTTCTTTGAATATAGATTTCCATAGACTACCTATCCTTTCCTAAAGTCTATTATAGCTCTGTATCTTATGTGTTACGAATTAAAGTCGAAAATTTGTCAGAGTGTTGTCAATATACAATGAGTCTTATACAGTAATATTATGTTCCTAGGTGGACGTGGATCTGAAGGGGAAAGTAATCGACTCGTTTTGGCTCGTCAAGAATCAGCACAAACCTTACAACATCAAACATTAAACAATACAAATACAATTACTCTAGTTTGACATCAATACTATAGCTATCTTAGTTCATTAGTGATCTAAATGAGGCTAGAATAAATAGAGCTAGTGATGACCATATCATTATACTTTTCTAAGGAGTTTTTATTTCTCAATGTGACTGATTTGAGTGGTTGGTGTATGTATGAATACATTCAAGTATTAGTAATCTCGATTTTTATGAACTTTTAGTATTAATACTAATGTGATATTTTTTACAGAATATTTTCCAAAATTGTTATATTTACATCATGTCTTGTGTATGTTTGTACAAGTGTTTTGTTCGTACAAATAAATTACGTTTTGAATACAATTATGAATAGTTTTAGTGTGTAGAAATTATGAAAAAGTAGAGGTGTAGAATGCTCTATTATTCTTTTTAGTTTTGTATTCCTCATATTATCGACTTATGATAGTAATTTTATGAATTGTATAATATTTTTTATCATATTTCATATAGGAATTAATTGAATAAATATTCCATGTACAACTATTGTTTCATTTTAACTGGATTGTCACACCAGTCACAAGACATATGATTAGAAGCGACCTGCATCCAACGACTCCTTACGACCGTGATTACACTGAAAACAGTTTGAAGGTACAACGTAATTACGGCAAACCCTTCTGTCCATACCAGCAGCTGTAGCCAAATGCCATTTAGCGCTTGTCTACTTGTAGAGTAGAAAAGTAAATTATATGGAATTGACGTAAATTTTGACACTTGTCAGTGTCATCCCCATACATTTAGTTTTCTACTCTCTCTGTAAACAAGCGCTAAAGTGGCTTTTGGCTAAAGGCAAATATATAGCGCAAGGTCCGATGTCATCTATCATTCTAGCTGTCAAAAATAAACTGTGAAATGATTCGACTCTAGGAAGTTATCTATTGGATATAAACGTTAGCTCTCATTGATATCTTCAGAAGACTATCGAGAATTATAGAAATCCTCAAATCTCTAACACCAAAAGGCTGGCAACACACTTGTAATTGTTTTGGTGTTACCAGTGTGATGCGTCGGTGTGTTTACCGTCCTATCCTATATAAATATCGCGGAGAACCTAACAGGTTTCCGGGGTTCCAGCTCGACGTGCAGGAGAAGGAACGGGGTGGTTTTTAGTCAGTAAGAGTCTGACACTCCCTCCCGCCTCACCCAGGCGGGAGCAGTCATTCGATGATTTTACCCCCTTAAAAAAATCCTCTATAAATGAATAGGTATGATGTGAAGGTATACTTTCAGGGCTCCCGTCCACATCATCACTGGCTCGGCTGGCTGTAAGGAGGGCAGAGATCACTTCCTGAGTAAGTAATAAATGAAATATATTAAGGCTGGTAACAATATGCTTATTGTGTTGCCAACAATACGCCTAGCTAGGAGTCTTGGCAATACCAGTTTAAACTTCCAAATGGATACTATATGAAGGACAAATTGTAATTTTCTAACGTTCCATTCTGGATGAGGAATATTAAAGTTTTTGTTTCCCTATGCAGATGATGAGCCTAAGTGGTCGGCGTTCAGATCTCAGGATTTCGGCTACACCAAGTTCAAGGCGTTCAACACGACACACATTTACATGGAGCAGGTAATTAACATTCATCTTATGACTAGCAAATCTGTAACAAGACTGTAACTAGAGAACTGTAACTAAAAACAGTATTGTGAACCTGATTGAAAAAGAGTAACCTAGGGAATTCCTTGCTCGTTCTCCTCCATAGGAATGTACACCTTGGAATGAGCAAATAGCTTCACTTAATTTTTTTTGTTGACGTTTCGTGGTCTAATTGAAATAAATGATTTTGTGAGCGTTACCCTGGATTTGAATCTTATAGATAATTAACATTTTTAAAGTTGCGCTTATAGTTTTTTAATTATTTCACTAAAACAATTACTGCGGGGGTAACGTTACCCCAGGCAGACCTTTTTCTTTCTAATGGGAATATTTAAATAATTACTAGCTGTAAAATAGTTGTCTAGAATTCTAGATAAAGTAAATATTGTGCCTTATTTTGTATTTGTTCTTTTATCAGTTGCGAAGTTATTCGAGATTCTGCTAGGGTAACGTTTTTGGTTTTGCTAGATCTTTGAAATGGTTAAGCGGATTCTTATCATATTTTGTACATGGCTTTTTAGGAATTAGTTTAAATAAAAAAACCAAAATAATACATAGCTTAAAGGTTATTTCAGTAAATAGAAAAACACTTCAATTGGTCCCAGCACTATTTAAATATTCCCATTAGAAAGGAAAAGGTCTAGCTGGGGTAACGTTATCTCCGCAGGAAATGTTTTTGTGAAATAATTAAAAACTATAAGCGCAACAAATTTAAAAATGTGCGTAACAATTACAGAAGCTGCGAAACTAATTATCTATAACATTCATATGACCATTTTCGACAACATCTGGTCTGGCTAAGGTACACAATGATTTTTGACTTTTCTCTTTTGACAATGACAATAAAGAAAGGGCCTGGTTTCTAGTCGCTGCAAGTCAGGAAAAGTACTATACAACTTTTTAAACGGATTAACCGACTCAAAATGCACCATCAACTACGATAAACTAGTATAGTAAACTTAATTCTTTTGCAATAAAATTGAAAATGTATTGTTTGCAGGTGTCCGTAGACCTCCACGGACGAGTGATCGACTCCATGTGGCTGGTGAAGAACAAAACGGTGCCTTTTACTAACACACACTATTAATTAAGTAGTATGAGTAGTATTGATAGTAGAATGAATAAACTAGCGTTGTGATACGAGTCGTGTAATGCACGCTACGAGGTATTTGTGTTTTGAAAACTGTACAGATGCCAGGTTAACCTACACCTTTGTTTTTCTTTATTCAAGTTTCAACTTGATTGTTTCGATATAAAGTCGAAAATTTAAATAAAGATCTGAGTAGGTTGACCGACAGGCTTTGGGCATATAATTTTATTATTGCACCTCACTACCTATATTGTTAATTAGTTAATATTGGTTTATGAAATATAATAAGGACAGTCTAAACGTGTATTATTTAGTTTATTGAATAATGTATTATAGACCTGTAATTTGAAATAGTATTCACTCTCAGTGAATCAATATATTGCCTTTCGCTGGGCTGGGCTTCGTACTAGGAGAATGTTTGACAATGCTATTAAAAAAACGTACCTACCATGATTTAGTGATAGGCCCAATAGCAATAAATTAGACGAATATATCGTTCACAATTTTCGTATATTTGACATTTGTAATTACTTAAATCAAAGTATTAGTTCCGTTTACAAGATTATAATATTGAGCTGATTAACATTAAAATTAGATTTACATTGTGTGCTTATTATTATAAGTACAAAGTACTTGGAAGCAACTTGACTTGTATCCATTGAGATCAAAAATAAGTTCCTGTGTGAGGAAATACCTACTTCTTTTAATTTCATATGTTTCACGGCTCTTTCACGTAACAAGATTGTTTGACAGGATAATTTAGTTTTAAGTTACCCAGGAGCTCACATTCATGAGAAGCATTGCGCGACATATGACGCAGCGCGGCAGCGAACGTCGCATCAACTCTCACTCAGCTGACGTCGCCAGCCCCTAGCGTCGCTTGAAATTAGTCGAGTTAGGAGCCATCCATAAATTACGTCACGCGTTGACGGGGAGGAGGAAGGTGGTCTTTTGACATTGTGTGACGATGGGGTGGGAGGGATCCTAAACTTAGTGTCGTCACATTTTGTCAACCACTCGCAGTACTAGTGTTATGCGCGAAATAAATTTTGGAATCGCTGTTTTCATTCAATAATTTCTATGCGTATGACGATGATGATAAATGACGTAACTCTAGGGGGGAGGAGTCTTACGAATGTGACTAGCTGTGATAAGGACGGGGGGAGGGGCAAAAAATCATGAAATTCATGTGAAGTAATTTGGATGACCCCTTACCTCGTCAAACATTAATGTGAGTAAGCCGGTAAACAAATGTAATTAAGTTTAATACGTCTCACGAGAGTTACAATATAAAGAATTTGTATTAGTAAGTAGTATATACTTACAATAATGGTGGAAGACTAGAATAGCTAGCTACCTACCTAATACAAGAGGTAAGAAGATGTAGGCAATACCTTGGAGATGCTGGGTCAGGTCGTGATAAGTATATACTTTAAATTAAAAGGAAAAGTTTTATTTTACTTAAAAATTGTCGTGATTCGCGAATTATTTTCTCTACTTTTTCTCTTAAATCTAAAAACGAAAGTTGAATTTCATTGCTTGACCTAACACCTGCAAGATCTTGTGTTTATATTATACCAGTTTGTATACTATTATTTGCCTATATTTTATTTCACATTAGATACAACTAATAAAAATGTAAGGACGAAAAGATGTAGCTACCTAAACAACTTATTTTACCAAAAATTGGCATAAAACCTGAATTTTATAGGTACACTTAAAATATGTTAAACAGCATTTAGCTATGAAAATAATTTGTACAACCCCTAAAAAATTATAATAATACTATGTCCACGGAAGAACCATAAATGTGAAGACTTTTCGACAAAATCAGTAACTACTTACATAATTATAAAACATACTAACCTAACTAAATTTCAAATATCAACTATGATAGGCCTTTTTAAAAGTAAGTTCACTGATCAATGATTATTTTATCTGTGTGTACAATATGAATTTTTTACAAGTCATATATCATATTAATAATGAATATTTTAAATTTTTATTGTGTAGTTGATACTATAACTAACAGTAGTACTGTGTCTACACGATATGATGCTTTAAGCTTATTTTTCATATTTATTACTTTCATTGGTATTAAAATGTCACATCAAGATTGGGAAAAATACTAACGCATATACATACCCACCTATACAAATATATCTAGTTATAATATTTAACTATTTATCCAATCTCCGAAGTCTTTTCTTTTCACTTTTTCAGTGTTTCTATTTTACATAATTATGTCCATAATATATATCTTCTAATAAAAATATTGTACTTAACACAGTATTTAGTATGCCTCAACAGGCACAAATATGTTACACATAGTATTATGCAGCGCACAGTCTATCACGGTCTCTCTCACTTAGCGACGCACGCGCAGTAACGCAGGTACTATTGCCTCGACAACATTACACTCAGTCGCGATGACTGACTTACTTTGTTGATATGTCTCCTTTCGTCAACACAGTGATTGCTGAGCGATTGTTTGCGAGCATCGATAAACCAGTGCGCAGCCCTTTTTGCTTCTGTTTCGTTTTGTTTGCTTTTTGTATTTTATTATGTTTGAGTAGATGCGGCGGTAACGCCTTGCTAATTGGCCGACTGTTTGGATCTTGCGTCAATATAACTTTTAGGAAATTGTGACTAGGCTGTTCGCTAAACTTATGCGCCGCGAAATTAAAGTGAAGCAATATTTTGTCCACCAGCCTTTCGTAGACGCCAACAGTACAGTTCCTTGCGTGGTCGAAGGGGTCTTGAACGCAAATTTTGGTTTTTATATTTATTTTTTTACGGACATCCATTGTAACATGTTGCTTGTATAAATGGAACTCGTCCGGAAGATCAAAATTTTCGAAAAATTTCTTAGGGATCGCGCGCCCTAAATACGGTGAAATTACAAATTCAGCAAAGTTGAATGTGCTAAGGCATTTGAAGAAGTCGCCCATCAGGTGGTACAGCGACTCAGTGTTGGTGCCGTCGCCGCGCATACTGTCGTCGAAGGCAGTGTTCCAGCCGTCCACCATGTAGGACGGCACGTTGGCCTGTAGCCGATACACAGCGGGCAGAATGTTCTTCAATTGCAAATAAAATACCACCATCATCATTAACGCGTAATTGCCCATCCGATTGGTGCCTATGAAATTGTTTAGTCTAGCCCAGTATTTGATGAGAATGGCTAAGGGAAGGGCTCGTCTGTCCCAGTGCAGTAGGAAAGCGAGTAGCTTGCTATTGCGCACTCCGGCAGGACTTTTGAAATTGACATCACAATGACACTGAGTAGGGATGTGGAGAAACTTGACTATGGGAACTTTGGCATTTGTGATGGCTAGTAGCCGAGTGAACTTAGTGTTGTACCGGCCGAGTATCCTCCTGGCGCGGACGACATGCTCGGGACTAGGCAGCTCGCCTGGCGGCAGCGCCACGTAACAGTCCACATCACTTGACTTTATCCCGAGCCCAGTCACCACAGAGCCAAACGGTTCAATTTGGCAACCTGAAAAAAAATCACATTCATATTTAGACTGCAATTAGGTACTAAAGGATAATTTTGGGTGAGATAGTCCGTGCGTCACTGCAAGGTTGTGCCCTGAAAATTACTACCGGGTGACTTGTATGCCTAGCTTACACTGTGTGTGTAACGTGTGCGTTACCCAGGCCAGACGTTGACATGCAAGCTTCTGTAATTGTTGCGCACATTATTAAATTTGTTGCGCTTATAGTTTTTTAACTATTTCACAAAAACATTTTCTGCTGGGGTAACATTACCCCAACCAAACCTTTTTCTTTCTAATGGGAATATTTAAATATTTACTAGCTATGAAATTAGTTGTCTAGATGAAGTAAATGTTGTGCCTTATTTTGTATTTGTTCTTTCATCGGTTGCGAAGTTATTCGAGATTATGCTGGGGTAACGATTTTGGTTTTGCTAGATCTTTAAAACGGTTAAGCGGATTCTTATCATATTTCGTAAATGGTTTCTTAGGAATTAGTTTAAATTTGTTCTGCAATAAAACAACCAAAATAATACATAGTTCAAAGGTTATTTCATTATATAGAGAAATATTTCAATTTTTTACCATTGCCCCACACTAGAATTTTTTGTGGGTGCATTTACAAAGATTAGCAAATAGATCAGCTCCGTGCGGGAATCGAACCCTTAGGGGCCTCCTAAGGACTCCCTGGCGGCATAGGCTCCGAGTGGCCTTACGGTAAAGATGGTACCGAGTAAATGTTGGAATATCATTGTATTGTTAAAACCAGTTGAGAAAATATAATTATATGGATACTGTACCAGGCGCCAATTGCTGCAGTGCAAATTCTAAGTCATCAAACAAAAGCTTCAGACTATGTACTCTCTCCGCAGTCAGTCTCACATATGACAAAATTTCTTGCACTTGTACATCAAAATCACCAACAAACTGTAGATTTGATGTGTCCATTATGTCATCATCTATGAAGTAAAGTGAAATCAAGTATGAGAGGAATTATTGAAAGATTAAAGTCATTAAACTAACATATTGAATATTGTTAGTTTGAATGTTTGTGTGCTATTATGATTAGAAACTGTTTCCAATGGTAAAGTTATTACGAATTGTAATTATAAGATGCTGAACCATATTAAATTACAATATTCATGTGTATAATATTTGTTAAAATTGGAGCACAATCATTTTGTTCTCATTATGTATGTGAAGATGTATCATCACAAAAATAAATTCACCAACACAGACGAGAGTCAAGGTCAAGGAAATTACCAGCTTAAGTTGAAATGTCAGAATGTTAATTCAGATAACATTCATACAACAATAATTCACTGTTAACATACATTGTATTAAGGATCTGGTTTGTCAAGCATTGAACCTAATCATTTCAAATTAACAGCATTATTAATCTAAGCCTAAAACTGAAAGACTACTCATTTTTAAGTCATGCTTATGTATAGATCTATCACTACAAATTCTTTGTAAAATGAGAGAGATGGTACAATATTCAATCATAATATCACTCATTTTATCCCTGGTAGGCAGAGGTGCACACAGAAGTAACACCCACTTTTCACTATTTATGTTATGAGTCCTATGTAATAGGGGGTGAGCCTATTGCCATATATCGGGCACATTTCCAGACTCCATGTTGCTACTGAGATTTTTTTTAAAACCCTGTAATACTTTGCCCAACCAGTTAATCGAACCCGAGACCCCTTGCTTGGCAGTCGCACTTGCGACCACTCGGCCGGCGAGGCAGTCGTTAGAATATTTCAGTACAATATTAAGTACAACTTAAAATTGGGTAGCCTATCAGTATTTGGGCGGATTTTTTTTATTTTACTATGTTAGCTAAACAAAAATAACATTATGACTATCGTCGATATTTAAAAACAATGGAGTAAAAAACTTTCCTTTTTTAACTGTCCACAGTTATGTTCAAAGGGATAAATAAGGGAATTCAAATCTGTGATTATTATTTGAGTTTGTTGCAGGTAGAGTTCAAAAACATTTATTTCACTATCGTAAGCACATTTTACCACAACTATCTGATATAGTAAAGTAATTTAAAAGAGAAAATGTTGATTGATAATGTTAGGTACCTACCTAATTTATTTTCAAATCAAACTCAAACAAATTAAAAATAGTCAGTGTAATGGGTAAAGGGTCCTATGGTTATATTTACCTTCCCAATTCATGTTGTTTTCTTTATGAGCAGCAGTTTTCACTAAATAATATTATGCGACCCGAATTATCTCCTCTATTATGAATTTTCAAGATTTCAACGTGTTTATTTTATTTTTATTCCATCTGTCAGTCAGTTAGCTGTCACTTGTCACTCACTAAACTTGTCAAAATTGCTGTCTGTGTCCGATCCATAGAGTAATGTACCTTGTCTATACCTACCACTGATATGATAATCTATGATACCTTCTGGGTACTTTCCCCACTGACGTCGATGCGGACGAATTTTTCGATACTTTATGTAAATATTTGTTTTTCTTTTATATAATTTTAATCTTAAGTTGTATATATTTTAATATTAATTTAGTAATAGTTAATTTTAATTTTATTTAAGTAATAGTTAGTATTAACTTTATTTAAGTTTTTATTTTCAAAAATAAAGATTAATTTTACATGATACCTACATGGAAAAACCACCACCACTTACCACTTTAGATTCTAGGTAGGAAAAAGAAATACCAAAATCTCGTTCACACTTAAAATTTTGTTTAGGTCAAGGATTTAAAATAATAAATGAACTGTGAACCATAGAAATGATTCAGAGATCCGTTTCCAAAATGTGGATCATGCAGAGGTGTTCCTTGCGAGAATCAAACCCTTGACACATTGCGCAGCAGCCAACCATAACCATGGCACCAACCTTATCGTTATAGTTTCGTCGTTAAGAGTCATATTTTCAATACGAGGGGAAAATTAAACAACAATTTTAGTTGAAATTAAAATTTCTACAAACCGCATAAAAATAAATCGTAAGTGACTTAGCTTAATATTAAAATAAATTTGTATTCACTATGTCTATTGATAGAACGATTTTTACACTAAGTTAATAAAAGCTTAACGTCTCAAAACAGAACATAGTCTCTGTGTCACTTTAGCGCGCAGGCGATGGTCACGTCACTGCCGGTGGCTACCGGCGCGGGCGTGGCCTTGTTGCTGGCGCCCGCCTCGCTTGATACCAAACTTTCGGCGTTTTTAAAGAAATTTTCTACATTTTTTGTCAAAGTTACGTCTTTTTTATTACAATTTTCTGTATTTATAGTCGAATTTTCTGTGCTATTCGGCAAAAAGATATCTGCCCCTTTGATAGAGGGATCGTCTGTATTGTTACTGACCACTTCTGTTGTGCTCCTTGGTGTAGTTTCATTACTATTATTTGTTAAAGGTTCGTTATTTTGAGGGTCGGCTTTAATTATCAGACAATTTTTGGTTCTGTCTGTTAATATCTCCATGGCACTTTGCGCCCGTGATCTCGATTGTGGCGACGATACAGCTGTGCTACTAGTTGTGTCTGTGGCGTCTGGCCCGTTAGGTTTAGTAGTTCGATGTGACTTCGGCAAAAGTACGATTTCTTCCTCATCGTCATCGGAATCAATTTCACTAGTATGGTTGTTGGCTTCTAAGGTTTCTGCTATTTTAGTGGCGGTGTCCTTGCAATTGGGCATCGAGAAAGGTTTTAATAACTCGGTTACCCAATTCTGCGTCACTGATATAAAGAACTTGCCAAATTCTCTGAATGCGTCGAGATCCCCAGATCCGAGCCTTATAGAGATGACGGCGCTTTTTGGCTCATGACAGTAAGTCATGGTCAACTGGAACTGAACATTAACATCCTGCTTTTCTACATTAATCACTTCTTGAGTGATCCTTCCTTGTCTCTCCTCTAATGTCAAATCCATTTGGTTGTAGAGCCTGGAGAAAGACTTCCTCTTCCATATGGGTTTAGTAATTGCACCGCTATACTTCTCCTTTTCTTTCTTAGTATCGGGGTTCACCTTCTCCTCGACCTTGCCGAGCTTGATCTTTAACATGTTCTCAAATATCTCCATCACCATGTCTCTCACTACCGACTTCCAGTCGAAGCTAATTATGGTATTTACTATTCTAGGGAACAAGTTTACTCTGTATTCAGGATGAGTTTTTCCACGAATCAGTTTAGGTTTCTGCAATAGAATAATTTTAAGGAAATCTTGACATGCATTCGTTTTCTCCTTCTCGTATGCGTTAGCACAAAATTTGAAGTAAGTCTTGATATCCAGAGCTAATTTACTTGTGATCGTGGAAGCAACGTTATGGCATTGTTCAAAAGGATCCTGCACGACCATCGCGGTCTGATACCTCATCGGCATGACGTAGTTGTTTAACACATTGTTCTTGTAGAGGTCGAATTCTTTCGGTACAGTCGCCGTGTCTTTGAATATTTCTCTTTTGATGGGAAAGCCGAGATACGGGCAAACAATCATTTCGTCAAAATTGAAAATGGAGTAATACTCGAAGAAGCCACCGAGAAGCTCGGAGATGGAGGAAGTATTGGCGCTGGGGGGGAACTGCGCGGGGTCGGCGTTGAAGCCGGTGTTCCAGTGGTCCACCATGTAGGCGTGCTGCGGCTCGCGCTGGAGCCAGGCCACGGCGGGCAGCACGGCCGGCGCCTGCTGCAGGTAGAACACCAGCATCAGCGTCAGCGCATAGTTCGTGAGCTTGCCCGTGCCCGTCAGCTCGTGCGCCTTGGCCCAGTACTTCAGCAGCACGGCCAGCGGCAGCAGGCGCGCGTCGGCGTGCAGCAGTAGCGCCAGGAGCCGCGAGTTCTGGGCGCCCAGCGGGGACTTGAACGTCACGTCGCAGTTGGTCTGCGTGGGGATGTGGTAGAGCTTGACGATGGGCGTGTTGGCGCGGGGGATGGCGAGTATCTCGGCGAAGGTGCCGGGGTACTGTTGCAGCACTCGCTTGGCTTTGTTCACGTAGTTGCCGGTGGGCATGCGGTACTGGCCCGGGATGTTTATGAAGCAGTCCGCGTCGCTCGTTTTGATGCCCAGTCCGGTCGTTATAGAACCGAATGGTATTGCTTTGCAACCTGATCGAAAACATATTTACAATTAGTAAAACAAGTTAGATGTGAACATAATATTAGAACAATATTTTTATCTCTCATGAAAACTATATCTCTAATCAAATATATATTTTATAACTAACAAAGAGAAAATATAATTCAATAACCTGGCCAGTGTGCTTGCAGCGCTAACTCGAGGTCAGAGTACAATAAGCTGAGAGACTGCACTTCTTCCATCTTGAGTCTCACTGCAAATAGGATGTTATCCAGCTGTGTGTGGAAGTCACCCGTCAGATCGATCTTTTTGGGCTCCAATATGACTCCTATGGAATACAATAAAATTTGAATTTTGCTTCTTAATATATCCAATAATTCGTTATTCACCATTGTCTAAATAAAAGCTTACCACTCCTACCTAAAAAAAACAATCACATAGATTGTTATGAATATTATATTGTGATTCTGTTAGAGAAAATATTACAGGTACCTTTCTTTTTGCTAAGCGGAAACTCGCGTTTCGGCGTGGGCGGTTGATGTGGCGGTCGACTGTCCTCGGACGACAACTTTGTGGAGTATGGCTTCACTGACAGGAAGTGTCCGTACACGTGGAGCCGCTTGTTCGCACTTAAAGCTGCTCTGACTTCGTCTTCATTGGAGTATGTGAGAGTGGCAGACCAACTGTTGTATTTATCTATTCTCACATTACCAAATTTTGTAAAAATGTCAAGTAAATCTTGCGGCTGAGTGTAGTTCGAATAACCTGTAATAGTGAGCCATATTTTATAGTTGATAAATAGGTATAAACTAAATGACGGTGTAAGATTCCTTTAGTTACTTACCAGAGACGAGAACCCTGCGCGAGGCGGGTGTATGAGGGTGGGCGTCGGGCATCTCAGGCCCGGCCGGGCGCCGGCGCGCCCCGGGCCGCGGGGCCGCGCCCGTCGACACTGACGCCGTCGAAGTGGACACTTGCCCGGCTCTGTCCATGGCTCATGGGTACAGGGGCTTACCTGGAAATAACCATTGCACACTTAGTTTCAGATGTAAATACTATCATTCATAAAGAAAAGTAATAATAACGAATACATTAGAAAAAAATGTCACAAAATAAATAATAAAGTATTGACAAAAAATTTGTCAAAGCATTTGTTTAAATATTACAAATGTAAGCCTAACTAGAGCGGGCTGGGTTCAGGTAATGGTTTTTAACTTACATAGAACTGTGGAATTATGCTTTTACAAACAAAGGAACAGTAATCAAAATCCGATTACGTGGCGACAGCAAAGAGCAATATTAATGACTAAAATTTTTAAGAAACCTAAATGTTGTAAACTATATTATCTAATGGTAACAATGCATTAATGTGTAAAGTTCAATAATTTAAATAAATACTTAAATAAGTTTCAAAATCAATGATGATAACTATACAATTATCAACAAATATTTTAGTATGAACATTGAACATGTTAACAAAGCTATTTGGAGATCATTAAGTAACTGGAAACAGAAATTAGATAGTATCAGATTATAAGTTACAAGTAAGACATAATTATAACAAAACAATAGATTGCTTCACTGCAGCAATGAATAAGTAAGACATAAAATATTTTTTTATATGAAATAATTATTAAATGAACTCTACCTCTGCCAAATACCAATCAAGTCTTTTCATTTTATATCAATAATGACCCCCATTCAGTTGTATCAAAAATTAGACTATAATTTTGTATGGCCATCAAGATTAAAGAAGATCTACCAAAAGTCAGATTGATCTGTTACCATGGAAGGGTTAATGTTTTAATTATTAAATTGCCCAAACAATCATATAGGACAAACTAAATAAGACTGTTTAATTTTCAACATCATATTTAAAAATTAGACTGATGGCGAATGTCATAAATAGTAGAAGATAATTCATTACTACTAAACAAACAAATCACCTGCGCATGTCTATATTTAATTATTTGAAGTGAAATAAAGAAAAAAAATTACTGTAAAACTTACCAGTTTGAATATTTATAGCTTTTTCAAAGTATTTAGATTCCAAATATCCTTTCTTGTTACCGCTGGTTAGGATGACACCATTTTCTGACTCAAAGAATTTAATACCATCTGCAAGCGCCCGAGAGAGATCTATGTATATGTGGACTTCAGTGTCCCGTCGTAGCCCACTGATCACGGAAGCATCATCTAATGTACCTTTTGCTAAATGTATGTGCTTCCGCTTCATACGACTTAAACCTTCATTTTTTATTGCTGGCCAGCATTTTAAATATGTGCCATGAATCACAGTGTTGTATTTGGGCTGAAAAAATTAAAAATCAAATATTAGTGGGTATTCGTTAAATTACTTATAAGGAGGTATAGTTTGGTCCGTATATCCTGTACATTAAAAGATATTCTCTTGTGCAACTAGTTACACATAGTTTTCCCTAAATTAAGATGAGATCTTACTAAAGACAAATTTTATAAATTCCATGCAGTAAAGCCACAACAAGTCAACTAGTAATATATAAATGAGAACCTCAGTGACAGGTGTAAGTTCAGCGTCAGTAACTTCACTAATACTGTGCCCTTGGTTTGCTTTGACCTCTAGACAGTCAGTAGATAGGTTCCTTCGCAGTTTAAACCTCTGCTTATCATTATTATTAACAACTCTTTCAATGTCCGATGTGTTGTATTTGCCTCTAAATGTTTTATGTTGTAATATTTTGTTTACTTCTAAATATCCTTCAGGGCTGAAACAATAGTGCTTTTAATTGATGAAATAAGAGCTATAGAAAAAGCACCAGTTAAGTAGCTTACATGAAATGCTTAAACAATTAAATGTTAAATATCTATTTGATTAGTATTCAAATGTGCAAACTTGTTATTCTCATGTCATATTTGTCAACAATGTAATCAAACAAGTACCTACAACTATTAACAGAGGCCTGAAACACTACATTCGAAATATTAGCACTGACTTAGAACAGCTGTCTGATCACAACAAAGGCAAGAACTTGTGTTAAAACCATGTCACACCGCCACCATGGCCTACTCGATTGTTAATACTTGCTCATACTGCAGCGTGAGTGATAATAGTCGAACCGTGTTGACAATAGATGTTCTATGTGGGGCAATAATATAATGCAAACACAGCATAATTGACGTAACCAATTTGAGATGCGTCCGTTGTGTCGCGTATCAACTCTACAGTGACATTCAATGTTTGTATTTATGTCTACTTACAACTGTGTGTACACTTCGAGATCTATAAAATACCAAGCAACATACCTTAATTTAAAACCTTCTTTAGCTGCTCCGTGCCGTAGCAGCCACGATAATGATTTACTAAGTTGAATATCTTTATTATTCCTGCAAAAAAGAGACTTCGTAAGTATAATCACAATAGTCGCCCCAGAATTGCGCGTCCATAAGTCAACGTACATCTAATTTGTCAACGAAATAAGTTTGTAATGCCTACGATAATACTGGAATATGCTTGTGTTTTACACTAATTATAAAGTATGTTATATTTTGTCAATCAAGTCCTTCACGACTTGAAAATTTGCGAAATATGTTTTAAAACAGAAAACTAGAAAACAAAGGATGCGGTTGTCTTCGCAAAAAACGCATGCGTTATTTTCCCGTCGATTTGACAAGATGTCAGTCAATGTGTTTATTTTAAAACAAGGTTATTGGTATTGCCAGGTGTAAATAAAAATATGATGACGTCGACGCGACGCGCAATGCGAGAATGGGCTACGCCCACGCGAGTTAGCGCCCGACCGTGTCGTCTTGAATTTAGCTTAGCTATACTTTAGACTCACAAACGTCTTTTACATGTCTGTGTTTGGACTAAGTTTGGACATTATTATTTGAAAAAATGTAAGGTCTTTACAAATAAATTATCAACTCTTTACTTATCCTTTCATTTCACATTAATTTAATGCCCTTTACATATTTTGCAACGTAAAAATTTAAAAGGGATTAATCTTATTACTTGTAGATCGAGGTTTTTTATATGGAATTAATGTTACTTGAATCACCGGGGGCATTTTCTTTAAGATAACAGAACATCACACCTTTTAATCCTCGAAAGAGTCGTCAGGCATCATGTAATGTAACATCTTTTTTTCTTCAGTAATACTACTGAGTGAAACCGAGGCCCATCACCCACGTCGTAGGGAGAGGACCTGTCGCTGAAGCCAACTCCTTGTTAGTTTTATTTATTCTTCCGTAAACCATAAATAGATAAAGATTGTATGGTAACACAGACAGATAGCTATTTTTATTTCATACAAAAATGACCATTACTAACCAGGAATAGTGGTTAAAATGGCGTGATGTAATTTTGAGATACTATAGACAACTAATGTGAGGCGAGACTGAAAATCGATGAAGTGTATGGAATAGACAATGAGGCATAGACTTAGGTCAGCTGACTTCATTTCTATCATTGGTCTTGTGATAAGTTGTGAACCTCCGCCATTCTCGGTCCGTCTTTTCCATCTTTCTCGTCCTGTGAGTTGTATTTTAAATATTAAATATTGTAATTCGTACTTTATTTAGCTTGTTTTTATAGGTGCATGTGTTATTGATTGTGGATATTCTTCCTTTCTTCTTAAATTTTGGTAAGATTGTTCCTGATTCTGCCGTAGTATTTTTCTTTGATACCATGTAATGTCACGCATTAATAGGATTTTTTGGGTTTTGCTTTAGTCTAGTTTCGTTCAGTTTATTTCTTATTACGAATTATGTATAAATTCAACATTATTATTGGCTTTTGGCTATTAGTGTAGCTTTATTTAGTTAATTACACCTCCACCCAATAATCATGTGATGTGATGAGATTTGTATCAGAACACTTGAGATTGTCGTATAAGTACCAGTATATACAGGTTTCCCTCAATATTATGCAGCCGCATAAAACGATGCATTACCAGAAGGTTGATCCATGAACATTTTCATTAATTTATCTAGTAATTAAGCTAAGCTTGTGTGTGATAACAGCAGTGTTGGGTGTAAGCAATTGTTTAACTAGGATCAGCTCCTTTAGTTTACCTTATTTCTAAATTAAACACTTGGTCAGTGTCAGCTGACTGACTCATTTAAATCTTATTGGAATCTGATTCAGTAAATGGACTACTTATAATTGTGTAATAGTAGGATACACATAGTTACCCGTTGTAGGGTGACAAGCTTAATACATGATAGTGGATAATCTTCATTTATCTCTTTTATAATTATATGTAAAAGTGGGAAGCTCTTTCCCAACTGTTATACTCTATTTTGTGATTAAAAATTATGAACAATGCATCAAAAGGTATGTTAGAAATGAAACTAATAGAAACAGTCTATTTAGGTCATATGACCGGTGAATGTAAGATAAACATTATTTGTACTGGAGAATAGATGGATTTTATGCTAAAATTCATTAAATAATATGTATTATAAACAAGACAGAGACCTTATAACTATGTGATTACATAAATTAAATTATTTAACTTATCAGTTTCAATTTTTATTATATCAAATAGTGGTTTCTAAAGATGCTTGTAAAATCTATCTATGGAGTTAAATCAAGGATAAAGTTTGTAATTAAGAATGTTATTATGATAACTGCCAACTGCTTTGTATGAATAATTTTTCCATAAAATCATACATAATATTATTTGACAGAATATTCTTAAAAAATGACATTTGACATTGATGGATGAAACTGTTTATCAGTACTCATTGATAAAAGCTAGGTCAGCTGATCTGTCAGTCTATGGTTCTACTCTGATCAGCTACAAGGTACAGCTGCAGTTGCAATAGGTTTAATTGTCTTAATTTACACTGAAACTATTTGTGTGTCATTGAATTTTAAAATTAGTAGATTTTAGAAAATTTTTTGCTTATGTGGTTATATTTTAACATTTTCGAGTAAATTTTTTTATGGCCTAAGCCGGTTAATAACCCGATGGATCACCTGATGGTAAGCTATTGGTGTCGCACAAGTGTGTTATCAGCCTTTTGAGGATCAACGCAGCGTTGCTTTGCGTCGGTTTTCTGTGAGGATGTGGTATTACTCCGGTCGAGCCGGCCATATGATGATGTTGATTAATTTGCACAAATGTTGGCAGAATCAAGTGCAATCTTCGTCTTGTGTTGTCAATTTGTATTTTTTTAATTTCCATGTCTGTACTTGATAATTTATGTTAACTAGTGTCATCAAGTACTCTACAGATATTGTTGGTGTTATAAGTGAAGTGGTTCACTTAACACATTAAATGCAACGGGGGTTAATAGTGACCGATGTTAGCGGATGATTTGCCTTTAATAATTTTCTATTGGCAGTCGAGACCTTAACTACAATTTTATTGTACAATTGTGGACTCTTATAACACTAATGATGTTAATATAACCATTGTCTATTTTTTAATAATGTAACTATTTTTCAGCAGGCAAAGAATTAATAATTCAAAATGAGCAAAAGCGGTTTGAAGACAATCGCTGATGAGGATAAGGAGGAGAAGTTCGGATTCGTATTCGCCGTATCCGGTCCCGGTATGTACATGTTTTATTTATTTTAATTACAAAGTTGACTGCTTGCCTAGTTGTTAATCGAGTTGGTACAAGTGTAACTGTCTAACAGGGAGTATTGAGTTTGTTTCTTATGTTACACATGCATAAGAATTATATTGAGAACCTGAATGTCTGAAATTTTTAACCTCTGCCAGCACCTTTGAGGAGCAAAAGGCGTGATGTTTTGTGTTATTACTAAGCTAAGATCTGATTCAGCAAAAGAAAAGCCTTTTGATATCTCTAGTACTCTCTAATTTCGATAAATATCTAGGTCACAATTTTTCACGAAATATAGGTCAACATTGTGAACGTTTCTTACGTCATTGTAAGGCGTATTTGGCACTAGTTTCTGTTTATTATGCACCATACAGATCTACTGTGACATCTTTTATATTAATGTCATAGGGAAGAGCTTAATTATATTGTAACAAATTGTAATAATAAAGACACTCAAGCCCGCAGGGCACCTTGAGGCGAGGTGACGGGCATTAGCGATCCCGCGGGCTACCATCATCCCGAGTGCTCCAGGGAGAAGTCACCGTTCCTTCTTCTCCGGCTTGCCTTAATTGGCTGGCTGGAGTGAACGATGACAAGGAACAGGTCTCCCACCTCTGGCTTGCCTTCATTGGCCGTCCAGAGTGGAGTCGCGAGAGCAGTGATCCTGCTCGGAGGGTAAGAAACTATCCGTAAGTCGCGAGTGGGCCAGGGATGCAGGAGGCTTCGGCTGGAGCAGATGATCTGAGTAGAAAGCGGTGGTAGTTTCTTAACCCTTCAGCCACTCACATTCTCGTTGCCCCTCTGTTGCTATATCTAGCAACCATTCCCGGGGCCCGGTCGGTGAGTTGGCGAGTCTCCGCCTGCCATTTTTACGTGTAAAAATTACATTGTTTCGGCAGGTGCCATAGTCATCCATAGTTCCCAATTTACCAGTCCATAGCAACCCATCCATAGCCCTACCTTTTTTTTTTCCATTATTCACAATAGTCCTACACTAACCGGGGACTGTCCTTGGGTGCATTTCCATAGTGCATACAGGGATAGTCGCCGGTTTGTGTCTCCATTACATTTAGATTAAAGTTGTCTAAAGGGCCTCTGCGCAGTTGGCTTCGGCCCCTCGTACGCCTCCCAAATGACCGGGACCCTGTGGTCCCGTGAATGGTAAAGACACTCATATTAGACAGACTATGACTTTTATTTGTTAGATCATACAAAGGTTTGATCTCTCATAAAAATAATGGGTAAAAGGCAAGCCTATGAAAGGAACTCTCAATAACTGAAATTTTATAATGTCACCAAAATATGAAATATTTACTTGTCATGTTATAACTATTGAGTGAGACAGTCCATATAACATAACATCACACCACGCCTATTATCCCCAAAGGGGTGGTGCACATTATGCCACTGTACAGTGTTACACCCACTTTTCACCATTTATGTTTTGAGTCCCATGTAATAGGGGTGAGCCTATGGCCATATACCGGGCACAATTCCAGACTCCGTGCTACTACTGAGAATTTTTAAGAAACCCTGTAATACTTTGCCCGACCCGGGAATCGAACTTGCGAGTGCTCGACCACCGAGGCAGTCCAAATAAAGTGATTAAAATAAATATTTCATTCTGTTTGTCATCTCTTAACCTCGTATATAAAATAATTATAATGTTGATCGAACATAAATAAAAATATTGCATTTCAATGATTACGACAGTCGTCACGGCGGAGAAAATGTCCGGATCGGCTATGTACGAGCTGGTGCGTGTCGGGTACCACGAGCTGGTCGGAGAGATCATTCGTCTTGAGGGTGACATGGCCACCATCCAGGTACCTGCTTCTCAATGCACTCTATAATAATTAATAAACAACAATAATCTGACAAGTTACCTAAAAATCTTTGTTTGTTTCTCTAAAAACCTTTTGTTTTGTAACTTTAAACATAAATTCTTAACAATAGTTATATAAGAGTTTAAAATAATTAAATCATTGTAATATTTAAATAACATTCATGATTTATATTATATTGTAAGTATTACTCTACGTACTTTTGCGGTGCCCAAAAGGGTCTATAGTTGGAACATATTTTGTAAAAAAATCGCAATTCGTAATCTAGACAATGTTAAACACAGGTATACGAAGAAACATCAGGCGTAACAGTAGGTGACCCCGTACTGCGTACTGGCAAGCCCCTGTCTGTAGAGCTCGGTCCCGGTATCCTGGGCTCCATCTTTGACGGTATCCAGCGTCCATTGAAGGACATCAACGAGCTCACACAGTCCATCTACATCCCCAAGGGTGTCAACGTACCTTGCCTTGGACGTGATGTCACCTGGGAATTCAACCCCTTGAATGTTAAGGTGGGTACAGTAAAGAATTGGTTTTACAACATGTATAAAACATTTCTTTTTCATTTTTATGCATTTACTGCTGTATAACGGAAATTACTATAAAAATGTTAAATATTTGTTTATCAGGTCGGTTCTCACATCACCGGAGGAGACTTGTACGGTATCGTACACGAGAACACACTTGTCAAGCACAAGATGTTGATCCCACCCAAGGCCAAGGGTACCGTCACCTACGTCGCGCCAACCGGCAACTACAAAGTCACTGTAAGTATTGTAGTAGGTGCATGGGTGCAAAATAAACACGGCACATAGTACTAAAGTTGTGAAAATATTGTCACATCATTATCAAGATGTACCTATATGTTTCACTACTGTGAAAAGGCCTTTTCTCACACGAAGAAAGGAGGCGCACCAATCGAGCTACCGTTATGTCAGTGTCGTAATTATTGTCGCAACTTGCGAACTTATTAGAAGTTATTAATTCAGTCCCAAATACATGTGTCTGTTAGTCGTTTGAAGAGTGTACACTCGTTCGGTGCCGCAGGACGTGGTGCTGGAGACGGAGTTCGACGGCGAGAAGGAGAAGTACTCCATGCTGCAGGTGTGGCCGGTGCGCCAGCCGCGCCCCGTCACTGAGAAGCTGCCCGCCAACCATCCGCTGCTCACTGGCCAGAGGGTGCTCGACTCTCTCTTCCCGTGAGTACTGCTTCATATATCTCGTAATGTATTGCAATATATCTGCCCAGCTACTGCTGTACTAACCATGCAGGCAATGTTCGTATTAAAAATGATTGTTTGTTTTGTACAGTTGTGTCCAGGGTGGTACCACGGCCATCCCCGGCGCCTTCGGTTGTGGCAAGACTGTCGTCTCCCAGGCTCTGTCCAAATACTCCAACTCCGACGTCATCATCTACGTCGGATGCGGTGAACGTGGTATGTACCATTGTATAAGTCTATTGTATAGCACATTCAATATTCAATGTTCATATTATAATTAAGCTATAAGACTTCAAGATTTTTTGTGTTTAGCTTGCAGAACGTCAGTTAATTTGTAGTGTTATGGTGCAGGTAACGAGATGTCTGAGGTACTGCGTGACTTCCCCGAGCTGACAGTAGAGATCGAGGGCATGACCGAGTCCATCATGAAGCGTACAGCACTCGTCGCCAACACCTCCAACATGCCTGTAGCCGCCCGAGAGGCTTCCATCTATACCGGTAACTTATTTTGTTCACTTACATTTCGCTTTCATTATATTCCTCTATTGAGACAGAATCTGTATAATTGAATGTTATAATGTTATGATTTTATGTCACCAGGTATTACCCTCTCCGAGTACTTCCGTGACATGGGTTACAACGTATCCATGATGGCTGACTCGACCTCTCGTTGGGCCGAGGCTCTTCGTGAGATCTCAGGTCGTCTGGCTGAGATGCCTGCCGACTCCGGTTACCCCGCCTACTTGGGAGCTCGTTTGGCTTCCTTCTACGAGCGTGCCGGCCGAGTGAAGTGCTTGGGTAACCCCGACAGGGAGGGCTCCGTGTCCATCGTGGGCGCCGTGTCGCCGCCCGGAGGAGACTTCTCCGACCCCGTGACGGCGGCCACGCTGGGTATCGTGCAAGTGTTCTGGGGTCTCGACAAGAAGCTGGCGCAGCGCAAGCACTTCCCCGCCATCAACTGGCTCATCTCCTACAGCAAGTACATGCGAGCGCTCGACGACTTCTATGAGAAGAACTACCCCGAGTTCGTGCCCCTCAGGACCAAGGTATGCGTCGCTCTATCTTTGTTTATATCCTCAAATGTTGTTTTGGTATTCCAGTTTGTTTATTTTGATTTTGTACCTACCAGGTCAAGGAGATCCTACAGGAAGAAGAGGATCTTTCCGAAATCGTGCAGCTGGTCGGTAAGGCATCGCTTGCCGAAACTGACAAAATCACCCTCGAGGTCGCCAAGCTGCTTAAAGACGACTTCTTGCAACAAAACAGGTAATTAACTTATAATATAAATATCTAATTAGTACTTTTTAAAAGGCCGGCAACGCACCTGTGATTCCTCTGGTATTGCGGGTGTCCATGGGTGGCGTTGAACGCTTACCATTAGGTGATGCAACTGCTCGTTTCCTTCCTATCCCATAAACTTGTAATAACTTGTTTGATACAATGAGTAACAAAGTGGTACTGTCTGTCTTCCGCAGCTACTCGTCGTACGATCGTTTCTGTCCGTTCTACAAGACCGTGGGCATGTTGAAGAACATCATCTCATTCTACGACATGTCGCGACACGCCGTGGAGTCCACCGCTCAGTCCGACAACAAGGTCACCTGGAACGTCATCCGTGACGCCATGGGCAACGTACTCTACCAGCTCTCCTCCATGAAGTTCAAGGACCCCGTGAAAGAAGGCGAGGCTAAGATCAAGGCAGACTTCGACCAACTCCTGGAAGACATGGCGGCCGCCTTCCGCAACCTCGAGGACTAAACGTCACCTCGGTCGCCATCACCGCACCAGCTCACGCCTGCCTCTACTTAATGCTAGGAGATCGAAACTACTGGCGTGGTCGCTCTAACTACACCATAGTCGACAGTGCTACGCGAGAGCGTATTGTTAATACACTAAATAGACATAAATAAATGTGTTAAAGTCTACGTAGTGTGAATAGGTTTAATTATATTATTACTCGTATTTCAATGCAGAATTCGTAATTCCAATTGTTGAAATTGAAAGGAGCGCCGCGCGGCAGGTCGCCGGACAACCCGCTCCATTTGTAAATACACGAACAAATGCCGGCGGCCCGCCGCGCCAACGCTCGCAGTTAATTAGTTGTTATTTATATAAAAATATATACATACTATTTATACACTAACAATCAATTATTTTACGCCCGTTTGTACTTCGCGTGTTAATCAAATCATAATATCGAGTACCCTCTTGCATTCCACGTTATTATTAGAGTTTAATCGAAGTAACATGTTTTTGTTGAAAAAAATAAAAGCAACAGTTTTTTTACGCTTTTCGTGTCTCGATATCAGTGTTACCAGCATTTTGATGTACCGGAAATGTATAAGAGTTCAGTATTATGTTTACTTTGATAGTTCTCGCTGTATTAGCTAGCGGCGTGTCTTGTACAAAAAATCATGCGCTATAATAACGTATAGTTACTTGCTGTTTGAACCTCTGTGAAGTTACGTGTTGAGGAGACGAAAGTTATAAATAAATACAATAAAGTGTATACAATGCTGTTTCATTTTCCTGCTGTAGCTAACGGTTATTACTCTACTGGACTGTAGATAAAAATCGAAGTGATATACAAACTGCTGTTACATTTTCTCACAGAGGACCCAAATAAAACTACGACGTTCACTTGTATCTAGTCTAGAAGGATCCTGGCAGACACTGGCCCCTATGCTTATTATACTCTGCACTGGCCAGAGGGTCTAGCGGACATATTATTTCAAAATTCAGTTATTATTTGATATGGATTGTTACTTGTCAAATCATCAGATTTACTCGGATCTTAGTTATGGGTCTATTTTTAAGTGTAGAAGTGAATTATTATGTTTTTGGCTTACTCATGTAATAATTTGACGAGGGACTACTAGTTTCAAGCTATGCTAGAGGCTCATATTATCGCGCTGCTACTGGCTACTCGAGTCGGCGAGCCCAGCGCGCCCTCTGCCGTGAAGCCGAAAACATAATATTTTATTTAGTACTTTTTTTTTTTAAGGGGGGAAAATTTTATTTAGTACTAGCTTTTACCCGCGGCGTCGCTCACGTCACAAAAGGATAAAAAGTAGCCTATGTGACATATACCAATACACACAGTGCCATCTATACCAATATTTTTGTTTTCCCTCGGGAATATCAAATTTTTCCGGGTTAAAAAGTACCCTATTATTTAATCCGGACTTCAAACTTTACGTCTGCAAAAATTCAAAGCAATCGGTTTAGTAGTTACGGCGTGAAAGTGGAACAAACAAACAAACTCACTTTCCGATTTATAATATTAGTAAGGATAGTAAGGATGCCTCTCACGAAAGTTACAATACAAATGTAGAAGTAGTATATAATAGGTACAAAAAATAGCGTTTAAGAAAACCGACTTCAATAATTAAATCAAACGAAAACTAAAAAGCAAAAAGAAATAACTATTATTGGTCATACGTAACGTTATTATAAACTAGCTGTTGCCCGCAACTTCGTCCGCGTAGAATAATGTCCTCTGGTAGAATTTAGGCTTTTGATTTAGTCTTTATCAAGGGAATATTCTACGGTAACGAATGTCGTCAGAATTGATTCAGTACCTAGTATAGGGCTCCTCCCCCATAAATGATAGCGTGATAATATGTAGCATATATGTTGACCCGACTTGCTACTAATATTCATGCAAAATTTGAAGTAAATCCATGCAGTAATTTTTGAGATCATGCAGTAATTGTTGAGAGACAAAAGTCCTAAAATCATATTTTTGGGTTCGTTATCCATTGTAGATCACGCCACAAGTATTCTTTTAAAAAAATATTCAACATACAGTTTTCACTTTCCTACGATTTTATTATACGTATAGATATAGATTGCACATCCACTGAAGCTTTTTTTTAAGGGGGGAAAATCATCGAATGACTGCTCCCGCCTGGGCGAGGCGGGAGGAAATGTCAAAACCACCCCGTTCCTTCTCCTGCACGTCGACCCGGAGCCCCGGTTACCCGTTAGGTTCTCCGCGATATCCACTGAAGCTAAGAAGTCGATACCTGTTTGACGAAGACCTCTTGAAACTAGTCGAGTTCCTTGTCAAAAACTTGTAGGAATGGTATTGTTGGTACTTGACTGTACCCAACACCTGTGCTAACATGATGATAATTTTATTATGATGATTATCTATAGAGCTTCTTTTTGTGAATCTCGAATAAGGTTACAAGCATAATGTTTTTAAATCGTTTGCATGACTGGCGCATAATAACTCTTTAACATCATAAACTGAGTGACGGCAATCAAATAAAGAACATCACAAAATAATTTTGATACTGTTTCTCAAGTTTTGCTTAGCGACAAGATATACCTATGGTTTAAACTTATCTGTTCATTTTGTTGTAATTTGTGTTCAGAGCTTTGTAGACACCATGAAGCGAAATCAACAATTTGTTGAAGAGCCCACGATGAGTGACAAGACATTACTCTTGAATGTCGAGGATCTCATCAACACGGCGTTTGGGACCGCCGATGTAAGTATAGCAAGAAACGTGCCAAATGTAATTCAAGGGTGGCGTGGTCTGCCTACAACTTTACAGAATGAAATAATAACGAGCAAAGGATACGTCTTGGGTTCGATTCCAGGGTTGGATAAAATTTCTGTAATTAAGTTTTAGTAATCCATAATTAAGTGGTGACCCTCACCATCTGTCATCACTACCTTTCCTCGCAACATACTTACCTACTTATTTTTATTCTATGCATTTAAGTAGGTACTCATTATTTACACGACTGTTTTCATAGATTAATTTGAAACGTTATTATAGGTACCTACATACATACTCACATACAATGAGTGAGTTTAGATTTTTATTTAAGTTGTTTAATACCACTAAAGAAAATGTTTAATGTTTACAGAGAAATGTAGTCAACTTTAAAATGATACAAGCTGTGCTACACATTTTGGCACGTCAGATGCGTTTACTTGAACAAGATGTTGAGATTAAGGTTGACGAATTCGGACTTGCAGGGAAACCTCTTGAGGCATACGCTAGCGAAGCAGGATTGAATGAAACAAAAAAAGCAAAACGAGGTCGGAGAAAAGCAAAAAGAGATGGAGATAGAATGGAAGATGGAGGAACTATTGGGAGAAGTTATGACGAAGACGAAGAATATGATGACAGAGATTACGATCGTAGTAGAGATCGGGGTGGGGGGAAAGCACGAGGTCGTCGAAAAGACGATGATCGAGATGGGGAGAGAGGGAGCAGTCGTGGTAGAGATAGAGATTACGACGAAGACGAAGAGAGAGGGGGTAGTCGCGGCAGAGATAGAGATTACGACGAAGACGGAGAGAGAGGGGGTAGTCGTGGCAGAGATAGAGATGATGACCGGGGCGGAGAGAGAGAGGGTAGTCGTGGCAGGGATAGAGATGATGACCGGGGCGGAGAGAGAGGGGGTAGTCGCGGCAGAGATAGAGATGATGACCGAGGCGGAGAGAGGGGGGGTGGTCGTAGAACGGATAGAGATGATGACCAGGGTGGGGAGAGAGGGGGTAGTCGCGGCAGAGATAGAGATGATGGCCGGGGTGGAGAGAGAGGGGGTAGTCGTGGCAGAGATAGAGATGGTGACCGGGGTGGAGAGAGAGGGGGTAGTCGTGGCAGAGATGGAGATGATGACCGGGGCGGAGAGAGGGGGGGTAGTCGTGGCAGAGATAGAGATGATGACCGGGGCGGAGAGAGAGGGGGTAGTCGTGGCAGAGATAGAGATGATGACCGGGGCGGAGAGAGAGGGGGTGGTCGTGGAAGGGATAGAGATGATGACCGGGGCGGAGAGAGAGGGGGTGGTCGTGGAAGGGATAGAGATGATGACCGGGGCGGAGAGAGAGGGGGTGATCGTAGCGGAGGTAGAGGGTCAGATCGTGGTGGAGATAAAGGAGGCAGGCGTGACGGAGATAGGGGTGGTGAGCGTGGTGGTGCTGAAGATAGAGGTAGGGATCGTGGTGGAGAAGCAGAAGGTGGAGGTAGAGGAAAAGGAGGAAGAGGGGGAGGAGGAGGAGGTGGGGGAGCAGGCGGCAGAGATGAATATGCAGATGGAGCGAGAGACGGTGGTCGTGCTGAAGATAGAGGAGGAGATCGTGGTAGAGACAGGGGTGGTGGTCGAAATGCTGACAGAGAAGGTCGTGGTGGAGAAAGAGGTAGAGACACAGGTGGAGATAAGGGAGGAGGCACGGAGCGAGGAGGAGATAGAGAAGACTCTCGTGGTAGACAGAAAAGTCAAAAGGAAGACTACGAGGAAAGTAAACGAGAAAAGGGTGGGGACCGAGGAGGACGAGGGAAAAAGGGATATGGCGGTGAAGGGGCTGGCGGGGGAGGGGGTGGCGGTGGGGGAGCAGGTGGTGGCTCGGGGCGAGGGGCAATGGGTGCTCAAGGTGTCGGCGGTAGTAGCGCACTGGACAGCGGGGCAGCCAGTATTGAAGAAAGAGCAGAAGAGGAAAGAGTTAGTAAGAAAATGCGAACGGCAAGAAGTGCAGAACGAATGAAAGCACAAAAATCAGGAACTTCTTCAGGCAGATCAGCCGCGGTAAGGTTATAATTTTTATTGCAGTGCCCATAGTAATAATGATATAATATGTAAATTCCTTGTTTCTATAATTCATCATTCATCATTAACAGCCGGAAGACGTCCACTGCTGGACAAAGTCCTCCCCTTAGCCCTCCACGTCGAACGACAACTCGCCACCCGCATCCACTGGCTCCCCGCAACTCTGGCAATGTCGTCGGTCCACCTAGCGGGAGGCCTGCCCACGCTTCGTTCACTTGATTTTAACTTAAAATGTAATGGTCTATAATTATATTTCAGCCTTCAGTAAACACTTCTGGGTCTCGTACAAGCATCACTGTAACAGGTAATTATTATGTGGGTTTACTCTATTAGTTTTAAAAGTAATCATCAGAGTGGGAGAATCATGCTTCGGCACGAATGAGCCGGCTCGCCTCGGCCTCACAGAAAACCAACGTGAAACAACGCTTTCGTTATGTTTCGTTGTGTAAGTGAGGTTACCGGAGGCCCAATTACCCTCCTCTCCAATCTTCCCAATCCTTCAGGGATTTCCCCAACAATCCTTAAATTCCTAATCCCCAAAAGGCCGATAACGGACGTGTAACGCCTCTGGTGTTCCAGCAGCTGTAGCCAAATGCTATTTAGCGCTTGTCTACATGTAGAATAGAAAATCGAATTATATGGAATTGACGTAAATTTTGACACTTGTCTGTGTCATCTCCATACATTTTGATTTCTACTCTCTCTGTAGACAAGCTCTAAAGTGGCGTTTGGCTAAAGGCACAGGTGTCTATGGGCGACGCCGATTGCTTACCATCAGATCCGTCTGTTCGTTTAGGTTACTGCCTTATCCTATAAAAAAGAGTCCTTTTTCGTTTTATAGCGGTTTGATACTTCATATTATGTGTCGTAACTTCGTAAGTAGCGTTAGATCTGACTGCGCTGACTAGGCCACTATGACCCGTTTTCACCAAGATCCCCTTAATTTTCTTGAAGCCTAGCTGTGATAGGTGACATTACTTTAATATTTTCACCATCCTCTTGAGTGACACCTAACAGCACAAGTATAGGGGCTAGTTTCGGTGGTACGTTACGCTAAGCAGCATTTAGTTAATAAATGGTTCGGGTCGGAGGAAAGTTGAAAATGATCACTTTCTTACAAATTGCAGTCACTAAAACCCTGGCTTCAAGTTACTCTTGTCCAGGGTGTCTATACTGTGTTAAAAAAGAAACAGGTGCAGTTGCTCTCAGTGACCAGCTACCATGCAATATGTCGCGGGTTCCGATTACCGCACGATCAGTGTATTCTGATTCACAATTTGTCGTTAGTCACCATGTAGATTGGTAACATAAATATGGCATGTTGTTTGATTTTGTTACAGTTCAATTTTAATAATTCAATAATTTGTTATTTTAGAAGCGAAGCGAAAAGGCCTCAAGTCCAAGGGAGGCGAAGACAAAGTATTAGTAGGTAATTATAAAATAGTAGTTGATGCAATACATATATTGAGTTTATTTCATGTAATTAAATATGTTTATAATGTATAAAAAATATATATTTTTTGTTTGTCATTTCAGTGGGAAAAGGACGCACTTCAGGTGCGTAATGAAACTAATTGAATTACTTACCTAGGTATCTACTTCAAAAACCAATGACTACCATTGGTTAGCAGCAAACTTTATTGTTTTATCTTCATAAGAACGAAATTGGGCGGAGAGAACAAATCTGTATCGTATTCAAAAACGTATAGTATTAACTATAAATCCTTATACATGTAACTTTTTTACACAAACATTATGACTAACTTGACCATTTATTTTTTTACTCAAAACGGTACATCCTTTTCATTTCGATTCAGTCAGGCAACTAGTAGCTGTAGACCCTATTATAGAGGTAGAACCTGTAAACACTGACTTAGTGCCCCCAACAAAAAGGTAAACGTTACTAACTGCACAAAACGTGTTTTTGACCGCCCCACTGCCGCGCAACGTCCAGCGGGTTCGATTCCCGCACGGAATAACTGTGTGATCAACAAATTGTTGTTTCGGGTCTGGGTGTCACGTGTATGTAAACCTGTGTGTTTGTAAACGCACCCACGATACAGGAGAAAGTCCTAGAGAGGGGCAAAGTTATTTTTTTTAATGTAGTTAAGTACTAAAGTTTTTCGACTGTACTTTGTCAAAAATTAGCGAGTTAATTAAATATGATGCTGTGTCTGTATCGCTCTCACACATCACTCGAGCCGTCCCAACGGTCGTCGCATAGGTGCGGCTATTGAAATTTTTGCTTGGTTTCCCAAAACGGGAGTATTTTGCGTCCCAAACTTTATTTCGGGGACAACGGGACAGGGATTGTAAACAGTCCAGGACCGATTGAATAGCGGAACCCTTATAAGAACCCAAATGAGGAACTATATCAAACTTTTGTCATTAATGAGATGTTTAGAACCGGTACGTTGGAACCGATTGAATAGCGGAACCCTTATAAGAACCCAAACGGGACTCGTAATTATAAAAAGGAACAATCCCGTTCGAAACGGGCCGTCTGGTCACGATAATTATGACTAACTAGCTTTCACCCGCGGCTTCGCTCGCGTCACAAAATGATAAAAAGTAACCTATGTGACATATACCAATACATACAGCGCCATCTATACGAATACTTTTGTTTTCCCTCGGGAATATCAAATTTTTCCGGGATAAAAAGTACCATACCATTTAATCCGTACTTCTAACTTTACGTCTGCAAAAATTCAAAGTAATCGGTTTAGTAGTTACGGCGTGGAAGCGAAATAAACAAACAAACAAACAAACTCACTTTCCGATTTATAATATTAGTAAGGATTTCAGGTGGCCACGTTCCACGCGTGGGTAGCATTGATGTGGTGACTGCCTCGCAGTTTGCGTTACTCGAGAAAGCTGTCCACAACCTGCAGAAGGTAGCGGGCCCTCTGCCCACACCATCTATGCCTGACAACCAGCGCTTAAGACAAGACCTGGCCAAAGGCACTGCGTCTCTCACCGACACCATGAAAGCTATGCAGGTATAATACTATAAACTTCTTGCTGTTGTTGCTTATATCCTTGATAACAGATTTACTGGACGTTAAAATTGTTACATAGGATATTGTAGCATATTTTTGGCTTCTCACGCTATCTATCTATTCACGGGTTTAGTTTATAGAAATAGAAATTTGTTTTTTTTATAGAAATAAACATAATATATTAACGCAATGAAAAATCGGTCGAGTATTTTTTGAGTATTTATGTTATGTATGTATTTTTTGAGTTCATTTATCTATTCGTTACACAAAAAATTACATAACATCACGCCTTTTATTCCTGAAGGGGTAGGCAGAGGTGCACATTATGCATTATGACACTTAATGCCACTATACAATGTAACACCCACTTTTCACTATTTATGTTATGAGTCCCATGTCATAGCCTAGGGGGTGAGCGTATTGCCATATACCGGGCACATTTTCAGACTCCGTGCTACTACTGAGATTTTTAAAAATCCAGTAATACTTTGCCCGACCCGGGAATCGAACCCGAGACCCCTTGCCTGGCAGTCGCACTTGCGACCACTAAAAAAAAGCTCTCAGTAGTAGCATGGCGTCTGGAATTATACCCGATATAATATGGCAATAGGCTCATCCCCTATTCCATGGGACTTATAAATAGTGAAAAAGTGGGTGTTACATTATACGCCACTGTACAATGTGCCGTACTATGATATTAATTGCCGTACTATACACCTCTACCTATCCCTTCGGGGATAAAAGGCGTGATGTTATGTTATGTTTAATATTATAGCAGGATACGTTTCATTGTTTAATAATATTAGTGCATAATTCATTTTTCGTAGTTGACTGCCCGTGTGAGTGCTGCTGAGCGCGGTCTGACACAGATGGCAGGCTTGCTGACGCAGCTTGCAGCGACGGGGGCGCTGCCAGCTGAAATGGCAAGTCGCATCGGGGAGGTCGGCTCCGAATTTAAACGATTTTCCAAATCGACGCCTGAGGTAGCGCGGCAACCAGTATCTGGCCAGGGGCCAGGGCAAGCTCCATTTGTCGGACCACTTCCAGGTCAAGCTACTGGACAATGGCAAGGACAAGATCCAGGACAGTTTGCGGAGCAACTTCCAGGACAAATACCAGGATCAGGTCAAGGAATGCCAGTGTCTACCGGGGCTCGAAAAATGCCACCTGGTTCACGTGTGCCACCATCGTCTACCACAGGAACACAGGGTGTAGGACAGGGAGGAGTAGGGCATGGGCCATATTCTTCAGACACGGGGGGTCAAGCGTTCACTACCCAGCCATCGCATGGAGTGAGGGCAGAGAGTACGGCGACGGGAATGTTGCCGTGGGAGCCAGGAGCAGGCGCTGTGAGTGTTTTTTTATAGATTGATTCACTTATATCACTTAGATGACATTGTATTTTAATTTACCTGTACCTGTGGCCTGAACCAATCTGCTGGCCAAGACCTCGCTCACTCGAACAATTCGCATGGTGAATGAGGTTCATAGCCGTATAGATATATTTTCCGGTAATACGAGTGATCCCATTAGAGTGTTATTATTACACATAATTGCGTATATTTAATTGTAATAGGTTTTTGTGATCTCATTATTATTATTTGTTTTTATTTTGTTATAATTGTTTATTTTAGTAGCAGTAATTGTTTTTTTGTTAAGTTGACGATTTTAGTAGATCGTCCCATTAGTAGAATAATGTTCTATTTGCAAATTGTCGACTTTTCAGTAGAGCGATTATAAATTTCGCGCTCACATATTTGCTTATAAATCTGTTATAAATGATACTAGCTACTTAATATTTGTACAGTATGCACAGAAGTTAGTACCGTTTATGATAATATAATTATTTATTTTATAAACTATGCCTTTTCAAGTATAATGGGTCGCATGTGCACATACAACGTTCTTTTGCCAAAAAAAATATTGAATGAGGTATCTTAAGAATACATAAAACAATATTCGACAAAACTAATCACGATACATCGGCATATCAAACATTATTTTACGAATATTCGCGGTTGTATCAGTGTTTTATATGAAATTGTTATACTAAGAAAGTAGAATAGAAGGTTTTAAATTCATCATTATTAATGGATATTTATGTATATTTAAAAACGTTGGTGTATTCTTAATGAATTTATTAGTCAATGTAGTAATCAATAAACGATTAAATTAAAAATAAATACAAACTGATTACATACACTTTGAGGAATACATTTAACTATTATAAAATTATTAAAATAGGTGACAGAAAAACAGAATAATGCTCTTACAATTCTTACAAAATAAATACATGGCGATTCATAAGAAAAAAATATTATAGGTCACTTGAAACGAACTATTGACTTATTGCTTTCCGTGGTTATTCTTATGAATAAATCAGTTCTATATAATTATAATATAAAGTTAGCTTAATAATAAAAACATGATTAGTTAATAATCAATACTCAAACACATTATTTTATAAATTACGAATTTATTCTTACTATTAGATGAAATAATACCACATTAGTAACTCAATTAAATTTAAAGTCAGTCTTTTTGGATACTTTGCAAATAACACAATAAATAATTATGGCACCATTGTGAATATAATAAAAAAATATTAAAAATCAATAATTAGTCTCAAACATAGTGTTCAGTGTAGAAATAATCTGTTTAAAAGATGCACTCGGCCAACGCCATACTACTATTTATTGTGTTGTCCCATAGCTCGATAGATGGCGTTGGCCGATTTAAATTCAAGCTATGGTTTCGTTACCGGCAAAACATTAGGTTGTCTGCTTTGACATAAATAAATTGTCTTGCTCTGAGGTACTTCGTATTATTTCAAGTAATAGGCTCCAAAGGACTTTCGGCCGATACTGTTCATGGTCCTTCGAGCCGGATGGGTGTTTATGGAAGAACACATACAATTAAATATAGTTGTGCTAATTGATACGAGATGGTGATAGTTGTCGGTTAACAATACTACATGTGGAAGACTACGTGCTCAGCTGCCGAGGACATACATCGGGAATCATCGTTGAACTTCGTAGTAGTGAAGTGAAGTGCATAATTGTGGACAAAGAACTGTGAGTACATTCAAATCATTAAAACTAGGGACTTAGAAAAATTCGCGTGCATTCGATCAGGGACTTAGAATAGTTTCGAGAAAAACGACCAGACGTCGAATCTATGCCCGATTTCGAAGCGATCTACAAAGTATTAAACACTTAGAAAAATTCTCTATAGTTTGGACTTGGAAAATTTGTCAATTGTCAACTGTCAGCGACACTTAGAGAATTTTCATCTATCTTTCACTGGACTTAGAATATTTTCATGAATACAAACAACATGGAGAAAGAACTAAGAAAGCTGAAAGATATCAAATTACAAATTGAAAAGGGCTGGATAAATTACAAGAAGTCCCCGAGAGATCGGATAAACTACAATTATGTCGATGCACGTTTAGAGATGTTAGAGACCCAATTCAAGAATTTTTCTGCGAAATATGAAGTCATCGTAGGTATTGCGAAAGTGAAGAATTACAGGACTTTTTCCAGGAAGATATCTATGAGACGGTTTATGAGTGTTATTTAATGTACAAGGTAGAATTAAAAAATGTTTTGTCCCAATTAAAAGTTCACAGCTCCAGGAAGGAAGGTTGCGATGGTTCATCTGACAGCAGTGTGGTAAGATTGCCAAAAATAGTTTTACCTACTTTTAGCGGAAAATATACAGAGTGGTCGTCATTCCGTGATTTGTTCGTGTCATTAGTACACAACAATAAAAAACTTGATGATGTCCAACGTCTCCATTATTTAAAAACTCAACTGTCAGGTGAAGCGGAGCAGCTTATAAAACATGTACCTATAACTGATTTAAACTATAAAAAATGCTGGGAAATGTTAGAACATAGGTATAATAACAAGAGATTTGTATCCACATATATTTTAAATAGATTATTTGGCCAACGTAATATTGGAAATGAATCATCAAAAGCACTAAAAGATTTACTAGATGTGACCAATGACTGTTTGCACGAACTTACTAATATTGGGATCGATGTAAGTTCATGGGATGTAATTATTATTTATGTTGCAAGCTCGAAGTTGGACGTAGAATCGAGGAAGCAGTGGGAACTGCATGTCACTAAATCATCCGACGATCTACCTTCCTTTAAACAGTTTTGCGAGTTTTTGGAAACACGTTTTCGTGCTCTCGAATGCGTTGAGCCTAAAAATAAATTAAAAGTCGATCATCATCCTACATCTCACACTAAGGTCATGCACGGTACGACTAATATGTTATGTCCACACTGTTCGGAGAGTCACAAACTCTTAAATTGTAAGAAGTTTTGCCAACTAGATGTGGACGGACGTCGTGCCGTAACACAATCTTTGGGTGCCTGTTTTAATTGTTTGGGAAGTAATCATACTTCCAAATACTGCCGTGTTTTTTCGAAATGCCGTATTTGTCAGCGTAAACACCATACGCTGCTACATCCGAAGAACCATAGTGGAGCCATTGGGGTTACTGCGTCAGGGGAACCTATTCTCCCTGAACTTGGATGTACTTCAGAGCCAGTCCATGATGTCAAGGTAAGTATAGCATCTCATTTTGTGAATGAACAAACGCAGGGTCAGGTCTTGTTAGCCACGGCTTTGGTTAAAGCCGAATCACAAAATGGGTCCTCTCAGGTTTTGAGAGCTTTGTTGGATCAAGGATCACAAGCATCCTTTATAACTGAGTCAGCTGCGCAATTACTTCGTTTAAGGAGAGTAGTCTCAAAGACTACTATTGCAGGTATAGGAGGTGAGCATAGCAAGATCGTTTCTAAACATGTAGTGAATATTGATATTCAATCGTTGCATGATTCCTCTTATACCATAAACGTAACTGCGCATGTACTACGTTCACTGACATCGGTTATGCCAGATAAGAATGTCAACCTTGACAATTGGCCAGAAATTCACAGCATACGTCTAGCCGACCCAAATTTCAGTCGTTCTAATAAAATTGATATTTTATTAGGGGGGGAAGTATACTGCCGTATTTTAAAGGAAGGTCTGATCAAGAGTCCTATAGGCTCTCCGGTCGCACAAGACACGCATTTAGGTTGGATTGTGTCAGGCTATGTCAGTAAGGCAGATAGCTCTCTAAATTCTCATAATACTATAATCACGATGTACACTCAAATAGAGGAGAATGATATGTTAAAACGTTTATGGGAATTGGATTCCGAACCTGCTATAACGAAAAAGCTTCTCACGCCTGAAGAACAGGCCTGCGAAGAATTTTACGAACAATCGACAGTTAGAGATGTCAATGGGAGATATGTCGTAAAATTACCTTTTCGTTCCGAAGATCCACTTTGTAAATACGGTAATTCTAAAAATATAGCTGTAAAAAGATTGCTAGGTTTAGAAAGGAAACTGGGTAGGGATGATGAATTAAAACAACAGTATGCTGATGTAATAAAAGAATATTTATTGCTCGGTCATATGGAGAAAATCGTTGATAAGGCTGAAATAAATAAAAATGATGCTGTTTATTTGCCTCATCACGCAGTGGTTAGACAGGATAAATTAACCACTAAGGTAAGAGTGGTTTATGACGCGTCATGTAAGGGAACGAACGGGGTTTCCTTAAATGACACCTTAATGGTAGGACCCACTCTTCAGGCAGATTTGCGACATATTGTCATGAGATGGCGTCAACATCCGATCTGTCTGGCTGCCGATATCGTCAAAATGTATCGCCAAATCAAGGTCGCTCGACCTGATACAGATTATCAAAGAATTGTTTGGAGAGAGAATCCAAACAAAGAGATCGAGGATTACCGACTTCTGACTGTCACCTTTGGTACGTCATGCGCTCCTTACTTGGCTGTAAAGTCGTTGCAGCAAGTTGCGTGCGATGAAGGCGAGAGGTATCCAATGGCTGCTGAAAGGGTGAAGTCAGACTTCTATATGGACGATCTGATGACTGGGTGTCAATCTGAAACAGAAGTAAAACTAATTTATGATGAAATGAATTGTCTATTAGAGAAAGCGGGGTTCCAATTGCAAAAGTGGACAAGCAATAGACCATCCATTTTGGAAACGTTGAAGGAAACTTCTGGTAGAGACCTTGAAATAAAAATGGATAGTATAACTAAGATTTTAGGACTTACCTGGAACCGGAACACTGATGAATTTGATTATTCTGTGAAGATGTCACCTCCTGCTGCACCTGAAACAAAAAGGACGGTTATATCAGAGATATCAAAGTTTTATGATCCGTTGGGTTGGATAGCACCGTGCATTATAACCTCGAAGGTTTTCATACAAAAGCTATGGATTAGTGGAATCGGCTGGGATGATGA